AGCTGAGGTAAGGAAATAAAATAATAATCTCTTACCCTCTAGAATTTTGCAAAGTTTTCCATTTTAAGAGGCTGGCTGTTTGTATGCTCCACGTAGGGAAACCATGCAAGAATCCTTCATGTAGCTGAATTAATTCTGGAATACTGTAGGTAGCATTTGGTGTTCTAAAACTTTATCAGTTGTTTCACATTGTGATATGGATAACTTCAGCCAGTTGGCACCAAGCCATAGCAATGAATTTCATTTTAGTCTGGACAAAAGCTGATCACACTCTGATTACTGTAGGCCTGAATGCATCACTGTAGTTATACTGGGAGTTGCATAAAACCCACACTGGTTTTATGACTTCCTATATTTGTCTTCCTACTGTCATACTTGTTTCTTAAAATACCTGAAAGCCTATGAAATGAAAGATGAATGAAAACAGAGCTTGATTTTTAAGCTTATATTATTGCTATCATTTCAGGACACTTCTCCTGCTGAAGCTCTCGTGTCTGTGTCAGCACCATCTGAACCTGTGCATACAGACAGTGAAGAGATACAGAGAGAAATTGCTTATCCTGATGGAAGGGTAAAATGAAAGTGTGGAATCTGAAATTCCACGAGAAGTGAAAGATCAATGGATACTTGGATGTGATGTCTTAATACTGACCTCTGTAACCTATTCGTTAGGTCGAAAAGGTTTTGAAAAACGGCTGTCACCTCATATTTCTTCCAAATGGGACGTGGAAAAAAGTGGGTTCTGATGGGAAAACTGTAACAATAACCTTCTTTAACGGAGATGTAAAGCAGATTATGCCTGATCAAACGGTGGTATGTATCCTGCATATTCTGCATTTCTCTATAAATACTTACATGTGTGTACACACACAATTTCTGGCTAGATAAGTTAATTTCAACTGTTTTCTTCAGATTTACTATTATGCTGATGCAAAGACTACACATACTACGTACCCTGATGGCTTAGAGATTTTGCAATTTTCAAATGGACAAATAGGTAAAGAAATCATCCAGCCCAACCAACCCCTGACACTACTGGTGTGATCTGTGTTTATATAATAGTAACTTGTCACAAAATACATTCTAGAGAAACATTATCCTGATGGCAAGAAAGAAATTACATTCCCTGATCAAACTATCAAAAGTTTATTTACGGATGGACAAGAAGAAAGCATCTTTCCAGATGGCACAATTGTTCGCATTCAGCGGTAAGCTTTGTGTTTTCAGGTACCCTGGCCTGTTGATGGGGATGCAGTAGGTAAGAGCTCACTGACAGAGGCAGTACATAGAGATACGTTCTTTAAAACTTACATTTGAATAGACTGTACTGTGAAGATGTGCTTGCTGTTTGACATTTATTTTCTGTAGTGTGAAGGAGATAAAGAAAATGCAGACAACAACAATGCAGTCAACACACTAGCTAAATGACTTTTCTGACTTGTATGTAATACTAGAGAACATGTGAGTACCCAGCTTTATCTCATGCAGGGCTCAGATCCAAACTGACGGTAGTCAAAATATTAAGCTTCTGAACTGTTGTAGCAACAGGATTAGACCAGAGAATGTGTGGTAGAGGCTTTCAAGAATGAAGAAATTGCGTGAGTTTTGCAGAAACGTGCTTTTGAGTATCAACAAAATGGCACGGTATTTACCAAAACATATTACATTTTTTTTTTTCATTTGTTCCTTTAGGCTTATGTCTGTACTGTTTGTTCTGTGAATAAGCTTAAGCCTGTTTACAGTCCTTATAATGGTTTTTACAAAATACATCTTACATATGTGTCTTTAATGCAGAGATGGAAGCAAGACTATAGAGTTCAATAATGGTCAGAGAGAACTACACACATCACAGTTTAAGAGACGGGAGTATCCAGATGGGACTGTTAAGACTGTGTACTCAAATGGACACCAGGAAACAAAGTATGTCTCTGGGAGAATAAGAGTAAAGGATAAGGATGGTAATATTCTCATGGACACGAAGTTGTAATTAGCACTGACTGTTAGTGCAACAGAAATAATGTACATTCCTGTAAATAAGATGACAAATGCCTTTAATTGTATGCTGTGTATATACTTACAGTTTTCTTTAAAATAAACTTATTTTTCATTGGTGCTACTACAACAGCTTTCTCTTTGCCTGGTTCTACTTTTCAGAAGGATTTTATCAATTCACTACTGTCTTGTGTTTAATGAGTATTTTTCAGATCCTTGGCTACTAGTGAAAATGTGTCAAACAGCTGCAGCAGACCTTTTAAAGATACAAGAGAAGATTTTTCAGTTTAAGATAAAAGGTTGTGCTGTTGGAAACCCTGCGTGGCCTAATATAGCAGAATGCTGATTTTATTCACTGTCAAGAGTTTAAGGCCATCTGTGTCCTGAGGTGCACCAGGCCCAGCACCCTCATCCAGGTGAAGGTTGTTCCACTCTGCTCCATCCAGCTTCACCTTTTGGATACCACAATATAAAGATGTAAAGCTGTTCGCATCCAAAAGAGGTCTACAAGCTTGGTGAAGGGCTGGTGGGCCAGCTGTGTGAGGAGGGGCTGAAGCCCCCCGTATGCTCAGAGCAGAGCAGGCTGAAGGGAGGCCTGATGGCAGCTGCAGCTCCTCACACGGAGTGGAGGGGCAGCGCGAGCTCTGCTCTGTATGACAGTGATAGGGAACGGCATGGAGCTGCGTCAGGGGAGGGCGGCTGGGGGTGAGGGAAAGGGGCTGCACCAGAGGGCAGTTAGCCGCTGAAACAGGTTTTCCTGAGCAGCACTCACAGCCTTAAGCTGCCCACATTTAAGGAGTGTTTGGACAACACTTCAATCACAGGGCTCAGTTTTGCAAGGTCCTGTGCGGATCAGGAGTTGGACTCAGTGACTCTTGTAGCCTCTTCCAGCTCAAGATCCTTTGATTTTATGTGAATGGCACTACTGCTTTTCAGTGCATCACCAAAGGAAATACGTAATCACTTGTAAGCTGACTTGTACTTAAAACCTTCTCAGTACTTCTAAGCAAAATATTGCTACTGCTGTAGTATCTGCTGCAATCCTCTACTGCAGTAGATACTGACATTTAACTCACTTTCTTTTGTACAATAGAACATAAGATAGATGACTGCTTCCCCTTGTACTGTGTTTGTCCCATTCCCCCTTTTCTTCAGGGAAAGCAAGCTCCAGTTACGGTGTGTGCACTGGTTTACTGAAGAGGTAAGTCAAACTGGACTAGGACCTATGCTTACTCAACTAGGAGCTGCATGTTTGTCTGCACAGGCTGGCACTCTTCTGGCAGTCTCAGATGGCAGTTCTTCCTGAACTCTTACGTTCTCATGTCACTTAATTATAAACAGCTGTCTTGAACTAAGGACATTACATTCTGAAGGTGACAACAGCTTTGTATGGTATTTTCAAAAGCACACAGGGCACTTCAATACCAGAATACAGACAAAGACCATGAAATGACCTTTCCCCTGCTAGTAGAAACATGATGTAAATGTACTGTGCAACAGTGAGCAAGATGCTGGCTTCAAGCTCTACAGATAAGTTTTGTGCATGTGTGTTCTATGTGGACATCTGGAAAAGCTGTTCTGCCATGCAAGGCAACATGTGAATCAGTGACAAAAGCAACAGCCTAAAAACAGACAATGTTGTCTTTTCTCCATTTTGGTTCATCTTGTTAAACTTGCAGAAAGCCAAGAAATAAAAGCAGCTTGTGCATACAGAGTTCCTGCTCATGAAACAAAAAAAAGGGGGGAGTTAAGGACACCCAGTGACAGCAACCACCTCTACAGAGGGCATCTTCCCAAAGTGATCTTCCAGTTGCAGTAACAGTTATTTTTGCTACCACCCAAACAGGGGCTGTACTTTCAAGGTTTTCTTAACCATTACTTAGATGTATGAATGAAATGATCTGCATAAACACTCCAGGTAAAGGTTAAAAATAACATCACAGGACAGGATTAGCAGCAGTCAATGAATGCACAGTGTGGTGCATGCACTGAGGAAGCCTGTACTGAATGCAGGACTATGTGATAGTTACAGTGAAGAACAGTGGGCATCTTTAAGTACTATGATTACAGTAAGAAAACAAACAGCAGACAGCCACCTTGCTCCAGAACTGAAGGAGGATCAAATTAGCAAATCTGAAGCAAGAGACTCGGACTGAAACCACTCAAGTTTTAGAAAATGTAAAGGACGCAGCTGATTTTAGTGAGATTCAAGACTTGTCTTGTGTTAGATGGAAGCCAGGGAGGTGGATATGTGGATATGTACACTTAGGTACTGGTGAAGGAATGCGTTTCAGAGAGATCTCTGAGAAAGTAAAATAACTTTATTTTGTTAGAAGGCGGCTCTCACCTTCTCCATGTCTAAGATTTCAAGATCTGATTTTTGTCTTTCCTTAGTAATTTAAACAAATTGCTCTATGAGCTGAGCCCTGAACATTAAGGGTATTTAGGAGTGTATGCTACATTACTAATATCTAAGTGCTTTTATATAAAGAGAAGAAACCATCATTTATGCTGAGCAAGCTCCTCTTTATTGTAACACTTTCAACTGAATGCTGCAGACAGGGGAGGAGGAAGAAGTGCAACAACAAACAAAACCCATCCATCTTGTACTGAAACCAAAACACAACAATGCAAACGTGTTTCACAACAACAGCAGTAACATCGCCCTCTCCCACCTGTTCATTCCTAGTTCCAGTACTGCAGCACTGTCACCAAATATGCCTGAAATATAAACTAGTTATACCACAGTATCATCATCCCTTCACCTATTACAATGAACAGTGGTGCCCAACATTACTTCTGTATTTATTTCTTCACTACTTCACACTCATTCCATCTGCTCTCACAAAAATAGTTGAAAGAACAATACTAACGGCTTTAAGGTCAAAAGTGGTTTAGAGTAAGTTCACTTATTTCAAGATTCAGAACCAGAGAAAACAAACATAGATAAAAAGAGTACTCAATAAATGGGAGGGAAAAGCAATACTGAGTTGTTAAAAATAAAAACCAACCACCCCTCCAAAAACCAGAACAAAGCAGTCCTTCAGCGTCTCTGTAGGCAACGCATACTGTAAAGCTTCTCTTTGCTGTGTTTCATGTTTGACTGGATGGACATTCATAAACAATCACAGATGAGAACACAGTCTGAGAACCACTGGCACAGACATTGAGAACAAATACTGAAAATGAAGAATAATTAAAATTACTTGGGAAGAGGATACTGCTGCTCACCTGCAAGTTACCTTCTTCACTGAGTAGCAGGAGTTCTTCCTGTTATATTAACACTTCAACTAACTTGTTTCTTACAGCTATTATGTGGGCTTCAATAATATTTAAGTAATTCCCACTTTTAAACAGCTTTTCATTAGAGAAGTGGGGACAGAAGAGTGTTTTTTTTTTAAAAAAAAAAAAAAACAAAAAAAAAACCGTGTAATTTGCTTGTGGTCAATTCACATTAGATGGCAATTTAGACCTTGGCTTAAAGTTTTTGAAATAATGCCCTACTACAAATCTGTAGTTCTTATTCACTGTACTTACATTTCATTCGTCCAAATCTGCAAGTCCCATTTCTATCAGCTTCATATGAACCAGTTTTTGTTCTTCGCCATACAGGAAAATCGTGACCTCTGGTGAAAGTGACTGAAAATCAGAAGGTGACATTATTCAGTACTGTGATAATAAGCCCTTCACATCTCCAAGCTAATCAATGCTAACAATGACTTCACTGGCTCTATTCGCAGTTCCATGCACGCATGGAGTATTTCTGTTTTTAAAAAGCAGTTTCCTTTCCTTAAAGAAAAGGGATGCTCAGAAGCATCTTGATTCTAAGAAAAAGGAAAGAGCCACACGATTTTCTCTCCCCAACAGCAATTCCTTCATAGTAAATGGTTCACAATTTTAAACAATGAGGGTCCGCAGCAGAATGAACAGGAATTATACTGAGATTGCTAGAAAGAATTTCAGGCTCAACAAGTGTGCAAAGAAATAACAATGCTTCTCACAAGAATGGAAGCAGAGAGCTGTTTTCCTTCTGCAGAGTCCATCATAGTCCACAATGCTTTCACACTCCATTCTGGGCAGTAAGGAATTCTTTCTACACTTGTATCACATAATGAAGGCTTAAAGCCAGCCAACATGGCGTGTACTGCCTGAACAGGATACTTCAGCAAATGAAGAGGTATCTGACGCAACCTGCAACAAAGAAAAATGTTTTCCTGCAATAATCTACCTGTCAATCAAAACCATTATTAAGGACAGAAAGACAGCTCAGTAGTGCAAAAGATTAAAGGTGAGGAGGCTGGGATCAGGGTCACTGCTCTACAATAAACTGATGGTGTCACACCAAACTAATTCATCTGGAGGGCTAGGCTCTCAAAGGACTTCAGCATGGCTGAATCAAGAAGCAGGGCCAGTTCCACACAGAGCCCTCAACCTGCTGAGCACACTGGTTTCATTACTGCACCTGAGGGGAGGCTGAGGCACCCAGTGCAGATCTCCAAAGCTGGTGTATGTGGACTTCTGTGATGCTTCATTCTGAAGTACCCGAACCAGAATACCTGACAGAGCACTTCAGATTTATAGTATCTCTCCATTCATCACAGTCCTTTTATGTCAGAAAGAGTGGAAACTGATCAAGAAGTCTCTCCCCAAGATCTTAACTAGTTCAAGAAGCAGGGCAGCTGTTCAAATCCCCATTTTTCTTGTGTTATCTTAAGCGAGGAATTATAGTTACTGCATGAGCTCAAGAGCACGTCAGCATGACTGAGCAGTATTTATATGAAGAGAAAATACTTCAAGAGAGAAAATTCAAATAAGTTTAGGCAACCCTAAAAGTCTTGAGTGTTTGCAATATCCAGCTGACACCAGAGCATGGGCTGATGCTTGAAAGGCTCTTCCTGGACTGGCTCAGCACCAGTCAGAACAGGCATCTAGTGATAAGCTATCACTTACGTATCTGTATGTTAAGAGTACTGGTATAAATAAACGCTTATAGTAAGTACATACACATGTACACACACACACACACACACACACACCCATGTTATACATGCATTTGTTTTTTTCTTATATATTTACTTGCTTGTTGGGACAACTAAAAAATTGCCATAGTCAACAAACTGAACCAGGATCTTAACAGTGTCAGTTTCTTCAACAGACTGGAGCTTCGCTCTATACCATAAACTATCTTCATACTCTACGAGGCAAGGCATTTCTGTAAAAACAACACAAAAAGTTCAGGTTTTCTTCCATTTCTAACTCATGCTATTACTTTTTCTACATGTCTTCCAACTCCCTCTGAACTCGAATTCACTATCACTGGTATGCAATTATAGTCCAGTTTCTTTACCAGAAGAAAGACTAAAGAGTGCTCAGCACTGGAACTTTACAACTTCGATTCATGTTCTTTAACACAGAAGACAGAGCCTAAAACGTACAAGGCAGATACTGCATCAAGCCCCAAGCAGAATTTTACTACTTGCAGAAATCCAGTGCCAGCACTGACTGGTTTCTTCACAAAGTCTGTCTTTTGCCTACACTGAGAAATTCAGATGAAGTGAAGTGACACTCTCTATGGCCAACATCACTTCAACTCTTGGCTATGTAATCTTTAGATATCTTATTTCTTTCGAGTATTTGACAGAAAGACTCCCACGGTTACAGCTTCAGGGCAGAGCTTTATTACTGTCACATGCAATCTAAACTCTGTTCTTATCAGCTTCAGCAGAAATTTGAGTTCTTTCCATCATTTTCTAGTGGAGAAATATGACAAAGAAGTCTCCATTTAGTGTATCACATAATCATCATACAGTTAGGCACTCTGATAGACTTCTGTTTAAAGCTACACTGAAACAGAATTATTTCTATTACTGAAAAATAATTTCAGGTTTTTGAACATCCACATGGAACAAGAAGGGAAAAATGAACACACTGATGTACCTGTTCTGAAGTCTGTGAGAAGGGGAAGACTATCCACGTATTTATTGCACCATTTCAGGGCTTCATCAAGGGTCTTCAACTCTGAGAAACAGCTGACATCTCCCTCTGTGGCAGACTGCTTGGTAAGGTTCTCAGAAGGAGTAAGGCAGATATATACCTATTCAAGAAGAGGCCTTCTTATGAACTTTGCAGGCTTCTTTTAACCTTCAAATTTCAGTGATCGAGGATTACTGGAAGTGTATTTATTCCCATCTTGGAAAGGTTTCTGCACACAACTCTCTTCTCTTCTTTCAAATAATTTTGTATTCATGTAATTTTTTCCCCCAAATTCGAAGCAAGTAACCGTTGACCAAAACCACATTTCAATATGAAAAAGAGTGAAAGGAACACGTACTAGAAAACATATCTATGTAAGCTTTCCTAGCTGTACCTCATTAGGATTCCTCCCTCCCGCTAGTTGATAAACAATCTCACTTTGTAATGGCAAACCAAAGATTGATTTTAAAACTACTGAAAGAAGAACTTTTGAAACAGTGCTGTATTTGCTATCATCAGCATAATGCTGTGGGTCCAGAGAAGAAAAAACAACTGAAGAAATCCACCTGAGCTATCTCTGAACATCGTATTCTACAGATCGCCCTAATAATTAATGAGTAAGTTACTAGTATTTCTGAGCCAGGAAGAAAATCAATTTTCTAATTTGTACCAAACATACAGTCAAACCACAACCCCATCCTGTAATGGTGCTTAAATAAATGAGTCCAGAGCAGAGTGCAGTGCTTATGATTATATGCTGTGATCAGAAGCAAGAGTTCAAATAATGTGCACAAAATGAAAAAAAAAAAATACTCATTATAATGTTGTTCCCATAAGAGAGGAAGCAGACCAGACAACCAAAGAAAACTCCCAGATACTTCCATCCTGCATTTAGTCCTAACAATGGACTATGTAGAATACATATTTCTGGTGAAGATGCTTTATGTTTATGTAAATTGGATGTGATGAATTTACAACAAAACATAATGCTGAATTTAAAACAATCACTTTAAGAATGCCAAACTTGTTTTTTTGGTTTACCAAAATGATGCATACAAGTACTTGTACACAGATCAACACACTCAAAAAACATTAGATTTTGTAGAACAATCAATTTCTCACTGCTTCCCAGTTTTGTATTTCATCCAACATTTGAAGCCCACACAGGCATCTTTTATTTAATCAATCAATATTCAGCCTTCTGCCCTGGGAGACTAGAGAGGGCAGCTATGTATGGATCACATGAAAACCAATGACCAATCAGAAAACAAAGAAAAGGCTCACAGCGTACAAAATCCCAGCAATTTCATTTTTGGAGAATAAAGAGAAAAATCCTTTGTGTTCTGTAAAACTGAAACCCAATGACCTAGTTTCTTACTACTCAGGGCTAATACATACCACACTACAGTCTTCTATTTCCTAAAATTCCATTTTTTTTTTTCTCCCCCCCAGGTCAACAGGCAATATTTATTTCTCTGTCTGCCCCAGCCCCTAAGAGTATTCCTAGTAAGAGATCATTCAGATAGCTGAACTACTTGACCACCTGGATCAGTAAAATAAGTGGCATTCTGCAACACTGCTTTTGGTATTTTCTGAAATTCAAAGCTTTTGATATCTCCTTCACCAGCAGATGAGACAGCAGTGTTTCCTGTGTGCAATGTATGCGAGATGTTCACAAATCGTACCTCCTTAGGGGTCACAAAATGGGTTACCCTGACAGGAAAGATATCTCCTTGAACAGGTAGCGGCGGCAACTTGTATGAAGGCAAAACAGGAGTGTGTCCTTCCACCAGCACCTACACCAAGACAAACTTCAGTCAAGCATTGTATTTCGTAACAAAAATGCAAACTGGCATCTGTATGATTTCTCGTTCAAATCCTGTTGTAATAACATCATTATAACAATGTAAACAGTGTGCTGCTGATAAACATACACAAAGATCAAGAACACTGTGACAGGCAACCTGATTACACCTAGCTCTGAAGATTCAGCTTACATTTCAGCCTGTTCCCTGCTGGAGCAGAGGTTTGGCCAGATGGACCCAGAGGTCCCTGCCAACCTCAGCCATTCTGTGGTGTCACTTTTCTGTTTTTAAAGGTCTTTTCTTATTGTTAGTAGACTGAATTTAACTACCACATCAGCTGCAGTTTGGAGCTCATCTCCTGACCTAAAACGGACAGACTTTCCCCAGTTTTGCCTCCTAAACCAACAACAAAAGAACAAACCAACAACTAAAAACAACCTGTCAATCCCAGGAGCAGCTTAAGAAGGAACAGAATGAGCAAACCTTTGCTCAGATTAAGAGCTTAAATATGCAGATTTTAAGAGCCTCACAGCAAAGGGGCAATAGGACCTGAGGAATTGGCCACAAGTTGTACCAGAGGAGGTTTAGGTTAGACACAAGGAAGAACCTTTTCTCTCAGAGAGTGGTCAGGCACTGGAATGGCTGCCCAGGGAGGTGGTGGAGTCGCCGTCCCTGGCAGTGTTCAAGAGGCATCTGGATGAGGAGCTACAAGATATGGTTTAGTGCTTGTGGTAGCAGTGGTAGTGGGAGGACAGTTGGACTTGATGGTCTTGCAGGTCCTTTCCAACCTTGTGATTCTATGGTTCTAATATGTATTGGAACATACAAATACAAAAGAAATACATCAATAAATATAGAAATGGTCTGTTTAAGGAATTTTGAGCTGACTTTGTTTCAGAAGTGTTTATGTATAGTTAAATACTATTAAGGAAAAAGATAGCATTTCTAGAAGCCTGGTCTGAGCTCAGAACAAACACGTTAAAAACCTGTCTGTTGCATGAAGCAAGATCACCGCTCCCCATGTCTGAATACATGAGCACAAGGCAGCACCTAGCAGCATGGCTCCACAGTGACATCCAAACAAAACCTGCAGCCCCCCAATAGGATATACAAACATATACATGTAGGTGTGTATATACATACACACATCACACACACATGCATGTAATCATATACACTCATGAACCACTTCTGTACGTAAGACCTACAGTAAGAATCACTGCTCTAAGCTTCCCCAGGACATTTGGGGTGCACTCCCTGCTCCTTACAAGGAAGGACAAGTCTGTAGTCTTAACAGCTCCTAAAACCAACTTCTGCAGCTCTAGAGAAAACTATCTTAAAGACAAGAACACACTGTACCAGGACAGGGGTGTAGTGGACTCTACTTAACCAGCTTATTACCATTACTAACAGAACTAGAACAAAGAAATACAGCACAGTGCCTGTCAGTATGCTTACAGATTAGAAGCAATGAAATGAGATTACAAAACCCTCTAGAACAGTAAAATCTATAATGGATATGCTTTATATACTAATGATATCCTTTAGTCAGTCTATCACCAGGCTTGTGATGATGGCTTTTCAGTCTCTACAGATAAACCCAGAGCTGCAAGTTTCATCTACCTGTTATTCCAAACAGCTTCTGGAAGCAGCCTGAGCTGCAGATGCCTTGCTCCTCTTGCTCAGGAGATGGTACATTTTCCTATAAATTGTTCAGAACAACTTATTCTGGAAAAGGATCTGCTTGAAGAAAGTACTCCAGGCTTTCTGAATTCTGCTCTTTGCTCACAGCTTCCTTCTGAAATTTTGTTTTTCACGTTTCATTTTCATGGTACAATCTCAAGACTCCTATTTAGTTCAATGACAGCTGTGTGTCATGTGCTGACATCATGAAAACACTGAGACTACTTTTCACTATGTTTTTCAGTCCTAATACACACAGACATTCTCTGAACTGCATCATACATTCCAAGACTTGCATTAGCAGAGACTGACAGCACTATACATCACATTGCAGAATTATTTTCTGAAGTAGAGACTCACTTTGGAAAGAAAAATAGTTATCCTTCAACTACTCTTTACATTCTACTTCCTCAAGCACTTCATAAAATTCATTGTAGATATTAATAAACTTCTTGGAAAATAAATACACGGACGTAGTTATCACTTGAATGAAGACCTTGAAGACTTGAAATGGACAATCTAATTAATTCTAAAGATTATTGGGTTTACGTGGAGAGCCCTCACTTGTCACTTGATTTACCTTGCTGGTGACATACTCAACTTTTGCTCCCAGAAAGAAATGAGAGCATTCAATTTCCTATCAGTTTTCCCCTCCTCCTCCAGAGCCAGTATGATTGTCTTGGGACACAGTGAGATGGAAGGAAGTGAATAGCAGGAATTATATGGAGTTAGGAGTGGGGGAAGAGAAAATACTTTCCACATCACTCACTAGACAGGGAGTCCCTGTCTAGATGAAGTCAGTTATACAGGTCGACTTTAAGACACGTATCTGACCTGGAGCAGCCAACTCAAATATGTTACATGAGACAACGAACAACCTTGCCATGAATTTGTGTTTAGATGCTTTTCTAGGATTAACTAATCCCTTCTAAGTGACAGGAGTTTCATACTATTCCCATCCTTTTAAAATTATGTTTTAGAGGAACATACAAATTGAACAGAAATGCAGACTAAAAATCCACTTTCAGCACCAGGTTCAAGAACAAACTTTTGGCCACTCACTGTTCCATGCAATTTTAGCAGTGTATCACACCTACATTTGTTATGCTCAGGAGCTGCTATAGTTGGTCTTGCTGCAAAACTATATGGAAGTGCAAGAAAATAAAAACATCAACATTCACAGTAAGTAACCAGGTATTCCTTCTAACAGTTGCAAGAGACAAAAAACCTCACCTGCTTTGCTATTTCCTGACAGTCATCAACAACACAGTACTTCTTGTCTGCCATGAAGGAAGAAACTGACATTCCACTGAAATACAGGCAGATGGACAGTTTTCCCCAGGGACTATCAGGGAGCTCCTAATTACAAGAGGCAGAGTAAGACTACAACAATAATAACAGCAGTCAGGTTTTAGAAATAGTGGCTAGGAAATTCTAATCTAACGACACCATGCACATACATTCAAAGGTACAAACACAGTGAGGATGGTTAACAGCAACTACAACAAACTGGAGCATGACAGTCTCCCTGTGGAATGGCAGCAGTGACTATTCAGTGTAACACCGAAACATTATCTCATGTTTCTCATTCAATAATAACTACCTTTCACAACTAAAAGTTATGTGAAATTTCAGGTTTTTTGGACAAAATAGCTATTTGTTTATTTGTAATGCTAATATACTAATTTAGACATGCCCATGCTTAGCTATGTCAAAATTTCATCACTTAAAAGCTGTATTTAGAAGAATTTACCACATCAGAATGACAATGGAAGACAAACATCAACAAAAAAATCATTTACATCACAGGGATATATTTTAAGGCCTGAAAACCATTAGAAAGCAATTTTAGTTTTGGATTCTCCTTCCTTCTCACACAAAGACTGAGGATGAAAAAAATGTTTGATTTAAGAAACACACTTCTTGCTACCTTCTTTCAGCTAGTGTTCATAATGCAAGTTTAGAAGTACAAATAAAGATAAGCCTCGTTCCACACCAATGATGAAATTATGCTACCTGAACATGTATTTCAACCTCCTCATTTCTAAGTAGCTTTTGAAGGAGATCCACTGCATCCTGCTGCCAAGAACTTCCAATCTATTTGGTAAGAAGGAAGAAACTTTTGAACTTTCACGTGCTGACAAACAGCATGCTTATATTATTCTTAAAATACTACCACAAAAAGACATGCCTATCATTGAGCAGCTTCTTTGAAAACACACTCTGTTAGCCTGGTTTGTCTAGAACAACGTAACATTTTCTGCTATTTGGTGCACTAAAGCTTACAGGGTAACAATGCTGTGCTGATGCAGCTATTTTCAAATCTTGAAGAGGCTCAGGAAGAGATGGTACCATGTGAGTTACATGTACATGTGTTAAGTTCTGTGAAACATAATCCAAAGACATAGGAGTACACTTGAATATAGCAGAGAGCAGAAGACAGAATACTTCAAATATTAAGCAGTATCTATTTGCTTCCTGACCCACACACCTATAAGCTTACCTTTACTAATCTATCAACTGAACTGCTGAAGTCTTGCAGCAATTTAAGTTTTCTCAGAAGTCAGTTACGTATTTCAGTAGTCTACACTTAAATGCACCTCTTAAAAAATGGGTAACATACGCAAACATCTTCACATGTTTATCATGTGAACTATTTCCTGACTCTAACAAAAAAAGCCTTAAAACTATTTCTATTAGCTTAGCAAAACAAATTGTTTCCCACGCAGCTATGCTCAAATTGACAGAATCACTTTCCCAAGAACTGGAAATCTACAAGTTTCTGATCTGCAGTATGAAAGCCAGGACTTGCTTCTTCTTGCTGCTACTGTAGAACAAACTGCCACTTTGGAGCAGCAAACCACCAGCCACTGCAGTGTCCTGTCTCACAATGACTTCGTTCCAATGATGGCTGTTTTTGAAGCATGGTCACTTCTGAAAGCCATCGAGCACTTTCTGATTGAGAACTGCCCCAATGAAATTATCTTTTCAGCTGCTTTGAATTCTCAGAGGCAAGCACAAATACAAGCAAACTACTAAACCTTTCTATGACAAAACAGTACTATCAGTTTGAATAACTGCCTACTAAGAAGCCTCAAAATTTAGCATTACTCACTGGGGTTGTCTTGTAGAGTTGACATGGTATGCAAAATGGAGGAATAGAAGTATACAATGTAGTTGGATGCAGGTGGCACTGAGGGACCCTCTCTATGCAACCACTGTCTACATACTGTACCTGTATGAAAAAGTTCTTCTAAAATCATTCCTGTTTTTAAGGACAAGTTTAATAGAAGAAAGAGCTCATTTACAGCATCCAGTCTTCTGCAAGAAAAACAACCATTTGCTGATTTGCATGTAATGTGATGAAGTAGAAAGGAGGGAAAAGATTAAAGAACCACCATGGTAGATCAGAATCTAGTCTTACACAAAATCTGCCTCTTGTGTGATAATCTGCAACAGTTTAACTAAAAATACATTATGAACTAGGGAAGTGTCGACTTGCTGTAATAAAAAAGCACATGCAGACTGAAGAGACTACTTAATAGTAGCATTTAAGTAGAAAAAGGAGCTCTATACCACAGCAATAGAAAGATTTCAAACAGACAACCACTACTGGCTGGTCAGATGGAAACTAAAGAAGCATTTTCAATGCATTCTGCTTATGTTCATAACAAAAATGTTAAGAACACAAACACAGGAAATCAAATGAGATTACTTGCAGCTAATCAACGGACTGAAGACAGCTTTTACTTAAGAGCATTTATCATTAATAGGAAAACTATGGGAAAAACTTGAAAACTGAAATAAGCAGACAGAATTCATCTTCAAGATCAAAACAAAATCAGAACACTGATCAGCTTTAAACAGAATGAGCATCTGGACAGTGAAGTCAGCTGAACAGAAAGAGTTAGAAATTTGAAGCACTGAAATATATTGAGAGCACATAAAATAAACACGTGTTTACACACACACGAGACATACAAACTTACCTGCAGAGTACCACCACCATGCTCTACAACTTTACCTCGATACCAAAGGCTATCTGACCCTCTTACAACACAAGCTTCTTCCTTTTTCCAAGAATAGGGTTCCAAAAGACCAAGGCACTTAAAGTTACTTTGTATTTCAACCATCAATTTCTTTAGTTCACTTTCTGGAAAATAAAAGAAAAAAGCAGCACAGTATGAAATTCAAAGTCTGTACGAATTATTCTGATCACTAAGACAGACCTAAAAGAGACAGCACGTTCAAAGACATGTATAAGCATTAAGTACACCTGCCATTCCAAAATGATGTTTTGCAAGATTGTTACAGTAGGTATGTTCAATTTGTATCATAAGCCAATCAGCTACCACTTCAACAAGAAGGAAATCACTGTTCTCATATTAAGCCCATTAGTAATTGAGGATTCTAATCCCTGAAAAGATGGGTCTATAAACTTTGCAGTTGACACCTTGACAAGAGGAATACGAGAATCTCTGCATGAAAACACCAGCAGATTCTCAGACACAAAAGGACAAAAGCCACCACAGAACAGCTGCCCAAAAAATCTTGTTCAGCACTGGACATGCTCTACAGGAACAAGTGTAAGAACACAGCGCTGGACCAGGGGGGTTATTGTATTTGCTTTTCATACAGTTAAATATATTTGTAGAGTGACAAAAGGAATTTTCCCTTGGCAAAATTCTTTCTCCTCAACACAGCAGATTATCATGGTACCAAAGACTAATGCTGCACCTGCCAGATTAAACTGCACCTTTCAATGAGTTCCAGCAGAAAATAAGATACAGAATCTAACGTACCAAAATTATTAAAAAAACCAAAACCCTGTGTACTGGGCTCAAATTGAAGAAAAAAAACTCCAGCAATATAAGAGCACCACACATTAAAAAAAAAAAAAATTAAAATAAAACCCGTGCTGCTTTAGCCAACACGGCGTAGAGAAGACAGGCAGCCTGCCTGTTCCCATGGCGGGGCTCCCGACCTACGGGGCGATGAAGGACAGGACAGCTGATCTGGGTCTGTTTAAGGGCGCCGCGCCACCTGGTGGGGATTTGGGCTTTTTCGTCTGAAAGCAGCAAAGCTGCCATGGTCGGCACAGCCCTCACTCTCAAGACTGAAATCTTAGCGTATCTAAAGCACAGCATTCCCTAAGAGGAAACTTTCTGAACTACGTTTCCATACAGAACACATACAATAGAACACATCTGGCATTTTCTGATACACAAACACGATCGGATTCATAGACATACATGGGTTTCCTTCCATGTAAACTTACCAGATGATTTTGGTATTATATAAAGAGTTCCATCATTTCCAACGCAACTTACTACAGCCTGAAAGTTTCTTTCTTCAGGTATAATGGGGGGTTTGTATGTTTTATTCATTTCCAAAGGCAGTCTGGACTTCTGTTCATTCTTTGAAACATTAATGTCTTCCTGTTCATCAGAGCTGCTTCTTGTACACGCAGGTTCTGAGTTACAAGTGCTCGGCTGTGAGTTCACTTGCTCTAAATGTACTTTAGGATGTTTCACAGGGACTGTATAAGCCACAGCAGCTTTATCAGTTCTAGCACAAGCAAATCATATCAATATATTAACTGATGAACAATGGAAAGCAAAAAAGAAAAACACACCCACAAACTCAGCAAATCCTTGTTCACATACCACCAAATCTCCCATCTACTAACTTAAACAGAAATGTGGAACATATAAAATTCTTAAGTTATGTAAGTTACTTAAGATGGTGTTTCATTGCTACATACAGTGCAGAAGATAATAAGTAAAAAAAGTTTAACTATTTCACCGCAACGTAGATTTATGAGTCTAAAAGGATACAGAAAAGAAAGTATCCAAACCTTGTGTTTCTAAAAGCCAAACCCTTTTCAATAAGGTGTTCTGAAAAATCAATCAGTTGTCCTGCCTCATCCTTCCAAAGGATTTTCACAGGCAATGTGCTCCCCTCAATGGTTTCCTGCAAGAAGTTATGAGAGCTGTAAAACATGACTACATGCATTTTTGCTCAACTTCTGGCACTTCTTGCACTTCATCAGGGCACACTGCCAATGAGACTCTCAACGTCTGTGCCCCAGTCAGAACATGCAAAGTTTACTTAACCCATATCACTGTCCTCATCATTTTACACACTGTTCCAAACATGGCATTGAAGGAAGTAAAAAAAGCTTTAAAGCTCAGCTCTGGATTTGCTGGAGCCCAGAGATGATGAAGATGTAAATACTATTCTTTAGTAACTAAGTATACCTAAAATGTTTTTTTTTCCCTTTATTCTGGGTACATGAATGCTCCAGTGAAAAACAAACGTAAAACAAACGGACAATAAAAAGCCTTAGAGCAAGCAACAACCTAAGCATGTTCCTCTCACGACTCCTAGACGAGTGAAAATACTCAAAAAAGAAGTGAGAAGCTAAATGAACTACTTGCAGTGCAGATCTGGATTACAAACCTGTATCACTACTTTTGCTTCTGCCCCAGTTAGGCAGTAGGAGATACATTCACACACTGTTGCTGTCCACTGCATGCTTCCACCTGTTGGTCTAAGGAAACAGTAATCTCCTTTACTGAAAGAGAAGGCAGTGCACCCAAACTTTATCCACAAAATCCACCCTCTGCTGGCGTTTTGATGCTCTTTTTAGACTGCTTGTACTGCCAGGGGAAAAACAAACCAACAAATCTCAAACTCTATTACAGTCAACCTTTAAAAAAAAAAAAAAAAAAAATTTACTTCGCCTCTCAATCCATAAGACAGAAAGGATTCAAATCTAGACATCCCATACGTTAAACTGAGAACCGTGCACTCTGAAAGTGGGACACCTGTCTTAAAGAATCAAGGAAAATGCATACTTCACCTGCAAACAGCCTTTTATACCCATTCATGGAGTAAGTATTGCAAATACTTCTTTACAGTGTATTACAAAAAAAAATGGAGGGGGAAATACATCGCAGTCCTCTTCCTTGACTGTAGTCTATAGAAGAAAGACCTCCTATATACTTTCAATGAGATCTAATTCATCTCAAATTCCATGTCAAGAAAAACAAGTCTTCAGAGAAAGAAGGAAACCTGTAGCATCTCCCCAGCATTTTATAATTCACCCTATAAAACATTCTTTCTTTGCATATCATATTTTGTGTCACTGTTATCTACCATAACCCTTAAAAAAACCCAACAAAACAACAAACCCTTTACAACAAAAAAAATGACAGGAGGCTCCCATCTTGTCTCTTCTTTATCCAACCCCTCTCTTCTCTCTCTCCCCAACCAAAACCATCATATTCAAATCACAGATCATCAGTACTAATACAGGAAAAAATTAAGTTATATCATTATCAGGTTTCTGATGTTGTTACTTCAGCATAAGGGTAAGGAAGGCTACCTTATATCTGCTAAGGCACACTCTATTGCTAATGTTTCAGTTCTCTTCATGTCTTCCTGAAGTTCTCTCAGACAACTGATATCCACTGTTTTTTCTGCTCCAGAATCATAGAGTAGTACCTGTTACAAACAAGAAATACAATGAAACAAACACACACACACACACACACACACACTCTCCTGGTGTTACCAGTAACACATGGTAAGCTAAAGCATTCCTGAACAGGTAAGCAAGACTGAGACAAATATTACCAAGATTCGTAACAGACGACACAAGAAGAACAGTGCTGGCATTTGTGCAGATGTCTGTCACAGTGCTGAGATGACAAATCACACTGATGTCCTCATAAAGGGTTAAACAACTTCACAAAGATTGTCACCTGCTTCATTTCTTTTCTGCTGTCTCAGTCATGCTGGTAAATGTAAGTGTGTAAATCCAGAAATGCTGAAATAACCCTGCTAAAGTCAAAACAACATCCCTGCTCTCCTCACTTCTGCAAGGCCACGCTGATGAACCTGTCTTGAGCTTGGAGTTATCTTTGAAAATAAACAGCTCTTGGACCCCCGTTCACTGCAGCCGTTCCCTACTGGTACCATTCAAGCAGATTCCCAAAGGAAGCCAAAACTGACTCTCCTGAAGTCCTGGGCTGTGATTCTGCTCTTTGCATTGCTTCTTCCTCTCAGGATCCCAAATTCCATTGCCTTCTGATCGCTGCAGCCAAGGCTGCCTGCCACCCGCTTGTCCCAGACCAGCTCTCACATCAAAAGCATCAATTTCAAAAGAACCTTCCCATGTCAGCTCCTTGATCAGTCATCTATGTCATAAAATTAACAACACACTGCAGAATAAATTCCTCGATTGCTTGTGCTTTGCTGTGTTCCCTTCTAACATATAAAAGCCCCTAAGGATCACAGCCTTAGAGCATGTGGCTTTTCCCAGTTGCATGCTGGTCTCTTCTGCTTCCTCCTAGTTGATCGGTAGCAGACAAGCACCAAATTGTCCATACTGGTTTGCCACTAATCTCAAGCTATAAACTCTAAGCCACATCATTCCTCATCCCTAGGTAAAGCTCTGCATGCTCTAGCAGCGAACTCACATAAAGTATGACTGCCCCTTTGTCATTTCATATAACAACAAGAATTGTTAGCCACCGAATCTGTGCTATAAAAGTGACAGAATAGTGCATTTCCAGCATTTCCAACTGGTATTTTAAAATTGTTTTTTGAGAGTTCTTAGCCTCAGAAAGCAGATTAGCTACTGCGAAACAAGCAGATGAAGTCATGCTTTTGTTCCTTCTAGCAAGTCCCGTGTACATAACGTGGTGAAGCTTGAAAGAACCAGCTGTAAACTAGACCTGGATACTCTGCACAACTGTAAGGCTACTCTTACTTTTGATGCAAGTTGTTACCTATTAATGACCAGCCTCCTCCAGCACTCCTTGTTCTTGACAAAGAAATGCAACCAAATATGTTTGAAACAGAATTATGTGAGAAGGCAGATGTTAGACTCACATGGAACAGGACATCACCACCAGCTTAAGAGTTCAAGGAACACGATTACGTTTCTTCCTGTGGTGCAGCACTCAGTCCAGTTGGCCCCCATTTTTTTAAGCAAGGATCATTAAGTTTGACTTACAAAGACCAGGTTCACATTCCCATTGGAATCTAAGGTAATCTGCTAGGCTATAGCTTGAGAATCTATGCCGTGTTGCAAAGCAAAGTGTAAACACACACAAAGTCAATCTCAATCTGTTTCATTTATCACGTTGCCTGCAAAGAGCATTTGAGCTCTGATGGAGCAGTAATTTTATTTGCAGCTTGACAAAAATCAGAAGGCTGCATGACAAAGTATTAATGCAGAGGATGCAGACTTTAATCGATGAATGCTTACAGATTTTAGGAAAGTAAGAATGAGAGATTACCTCAGCAGTTGTTTCAGAGACAATTCTGCTTATCTGTCCTCTACACCACTGCTTCAAATCACGCACATAAACAGCACAGTGCATATTATTTTCCCATTTCACAGACTGCGGCTGGGATTCTGTGTAGAAGGCATCCATCTTCTCCTGTAAACTAATATTCAAAAATACATTTTTCTAGTGGTAGCATTTTCTCAAATGAGCGATAGGTGTTATTTAGCCAATGACTGGTTAACTAGCATACTGTAAAATTTTATTAGCTGTTTAACAGAAGCTAAGGTTGTAGCTTTTCTTTATGGCACGTTAGAAATAAATGAAACGAAGCTGTGAAACAGACAATGTCCAAATAAATCCCTTCAACATCTGAACTATTCAGAGAGATCACGGACATTCTTATCCCATTATTTGAAAAAACAGACTCCTTTCTTTTGACAACATTAAAAGATGTGGCATTCATTTAATGCCATGACTAATTCAATGGCAGAGTTTATTCTAATTACACTTCAAAAGTAAGTAACATTAATGCTTTAACTCTAGAAAATTTATTTGAATTTTAGTACCTTTTCAGTTTGCTTTCTGATGACAGCCACTGGATAAAAATTTTACTAGGAGACACAACGTGACTAATTATCACCTGTAACTCTTTCTTAGAATATGATCTGAAATCCTGACTCTCCAGGGCTTTCATGTTTACGGGATTTAAAGCTCTCAGTTTTTCAGGAATTTCTTCCAGAGAATTGTCCCACGTTTCCTTGGAACTTGCAGGAGTACCTTTAATGTACCTAAATGGAGTGTAAATTAATCAGGATCCACATATCAAACATTTTTCAGTCAAATATTGCTCAACAGTCAACAGCACAGATATCTATCTATATTCTATCAAAAATACCTCGATAGAAACTTGCTGTAATGGTGTGAACAGAATAAAGCCATCAGAAGTTGGTCAGTATTTGCCCATTTACGTGAGCAACAGCCTGGCCTAGTAAATGACTGGAATAGCATCAACGAAAGACATGTAAAGAGTTGGAAAATCATCTCTAAATGCAGAACTGACTTCTTCCAAGTAACAAAGTCCCAAGGAAACAGCAAGCATAAGCTTCAACTGCATTTCTGGGCTTCCAAGAAGAAACTTTTTCAGAGATCCAGCACCTATCCTGTCCTTCCCGGGTAGCAAACTGCTTTATCAGAGAGCATTCCTTACTGTTCCAGTACTTAAAGACTGGGGGCAGGTGTTTGAAATGAAGTGACACTGGGAGTGAGGCTGAACAGGGGAGGACAGGCATAACATCTGCCAACACCTAAATCTGTAACAAGATATTTATTCTAATCAGCAAGAATCAAGTCAAATTCCCCAAGCTGAGTCTGTTTGCTAGCAACAGTACAAATACAAACACTTTTCCTGTCTTTCATTCTGACTCCATGAGGTCTCTTATTCCTGCTTCTATTTTACCCACAGTACAAATATGGAGAAGAGAGTGAAAACATAAACAAAATTAGTGAAGTTACACAGAAACTTGTATTTAATTAAGGCTAGTAAGGCTTTTAATTATAGCTGAACAGCAATACAAGAAAATACAGTGGTGACAACAATCCTGCTGTTAAGGTTCCAATAAAACCACCTAACTTTACCAAGACTTCTTATTAAAAATTGTCACCAACTCAAAACAAGGATTCCTAGCATTTAATTCATTTCTGAACTAAGGTGAAAATCCACTTACTTGCCATCTCCTGAAACAACAAAAGAAAACAAAAACAACAAAATTCAGGAATTTTCATTTTTGAAATTAAACTCCACATTTAAGAATCTTTTAATTCTCATCAGGTCAATAAAATAAAAAAATAAAAAAATTAACTAAAGAGTAATTGATTTTCATAGTTATAACTCATGGATTGTCTTTTCCAAACACAAACTGTATGTGGCAGTGTAATCTCTGTATCAGCCTCATCCCTCCCATGAGACTTCCCAATTCTTCTCTGTCCATAGCTGGCATATTAGAGTTTCTTGTCTAATAACAGAGATTCCAAAGAGATGAGGTACTTGAGGTGCAGCTCTAGCAAAGGTGGTATTTCTTTCCTTAGTGTAAGGGAAAGTGAACCATAGTAACCAGTCAGGAAAGATTTGGCACATCACAAGCACATCAGAAGCACAATGCAAACACTTTATATCTGCTACTTCTGATTCCATCACACTTTAGCAAAGTATCTATTAAGCAGATTTGGTTTGAGAATTCAGTTATACAGCAGCAGAACCACAACTTATTCCAGTTGATGACTGCGATGAATGTTTCATAAATGTGGTAAATTCCAATCACTGAAGATGATACACTGAAGCCAAACATGATAGAAATCCAGTATTTCCAAAAACTTTTAAACTATGCAGTGTATTTACCCCGGTATGTAGGATGCAAGGTCTTCTCTGACTAGCTGGCAGTTAATACTTGAGCCTCTTCCACAAGCAGCACGGGAGTCAAAAAGTTCAACAGACAAAATATTATCTAACATCTCTGTGAATTAATAACATAATTAACAAATAACAATATTAGCACCAAAGATCCATTAAAGACTATTGGTTCAGAGACATGCCAGATAATATGAAGAAAGGTAATTTTCTGGAATTAACCTGACTGATGACTGCGAAAATCAACAACATAAAGAGCCATAGCTCTGCACATAACTATAAGATCAACTTAAAAAGACAACAATTACTGGAAACCACCTGCTGCATGTAAATTTCATTTACTATATGGACTCCAAACCACTTTGTATGGATGTTGAAAAATAATTACCTATTAACAATAAATAGCATACAGGAAAAAAATATATTATGGCATATCCATAAATTATATAGCACTATATACATACACATACACACACACACAGCAATCCATTCCTGAGGCATACAGGGAGGATGTTTTAGAGCAGCAGTGATCAGACCCACAGAAGCCAATAAAGTCAGAAACTGCCAAGAACAGCTAGGAGGTTTGGAAACAAGCTGATCTTAATAAACCAGATTACTGAAATCCCCTAATACTGGTGTGGCCCTAAATAAACACAAAGAGAACTTTCATCACAGGTACGTCTGTTAGCTCTGCTTCAATTAGTTCCTGCCTGAAATCTCTCACACTCTGCTACCTGTCCCACTTCTGAGTGTAAGCATTTCAAACAAATGCTGTTTTTTAGCTACGAAAACCATATTTCTATAGGTGAGAAAATTTAACAATATGGGAGCAGAAATTGATACACTCTTGGTAACTTACCAACAACTGAGCACAAAACAGATTTATCTTCAGTCATTTCTTTGAACCTTCCTGTTGTTGCTTTGCTCCATTCACCTGCTGCTTCACAAGGTTCAATGTAAGCCAGCCTGCACTTGATCATCTGAAGAATAACTTTCATTAATTCTCTGCGAGCACATAAATCAATTTCATCCTATTGCAGTAAAATCACAGCCATCTAAGACAGCAAAGACAACACGACCCAGGCTTCTGGCTCCACACTATTTGTATCTAAGACCCATGTGATCCTACACCCCTACAGCTGGATGTGAATCTTGCTTGAAACGAGATTAACCCTCCTTGCCCCCTATTTATGATCTTTACAGTCAGACCTAAAATGGACTGCAGACAATGAAAAAGACTAACACAGCAAATGCAGTGACACGCACTTAATGCATTTAAGCTTAATGGCTGTACCACTGTGGAAGTCTGAAGGACTGTATACATAGACATCACAGTACCACAGGAACTGTTAGAACTGCCAGATTTTGGAAAGCTGTTAGGAAGACAAAAACAAAATACAAAACCAAACCAACAAACAAAACAACACACAAACAGGGAAACTGACAAAGTACTTGGATCAAAATAATTATTCCTTAGCATCCTTATTTCAAACATCAGTGGCCACACTAAGGTTCAATTTTAAGTTAACTGTGGATGGCATTGTTCCTTCCTTCTTGTTTATCACACTAAAAGAAAGAACAGTAATGCAGGCAGAGGAAAGAAGGAAAAAAAAAATATAATGGAAATAAGAATATCATGTGAAGGTATACTTAGGATACAGGCAGTCAGGAGTAAAACTGGAGATTTTAAATAACATTAAAAGAAAAGGGCTGTGCATGCCAAACTCAACACTACATTAAGCACTGCTGATTTCAGGGTCAGCAACATTTCTGCAGCAGAAAAGTTCATTGAAATGCCTGCAAACTGTATTAAAGGGTTGAAAGAAGTCCAACTTTTCCTGTAACAGCACAATTCAAATCTCTCCTGTAACAACCAACACCAGACCTACACAAGCAGCCTCGCTGCTGGCACTCCTGCCTTCTGAACGTCTGATTTTGCGATGTTGCGTTCATTCATGTTCAAAGAATTTCAAATCCTTTCTTTTAAATTGGAAAGATTTGAAATCATAGCAACACATAAGCAGGCCTGCAGATCTTTTTACTATCTGTGCTGGAAGTAACAGTGGGAACAAGTTATTACTTCTTATGCAAACTTCTGACTTATGGATCTTGCCAGACTGTAACCTATGGATGGTATGAAGAATGCTGAGAATAATTACTTTCCTTAGTGCTCATGTTCCATTCTGTATCAGTATCTTCATGGCCCACTCTCCCTCATGATCAAAGTGACATGACCCAGTAGTAGGTATTCAATAGTTGAAAAACACCTCACAGATTTTTCTAAAGATTTGTATTTCTTACCTTACAGATATTATTAACCTTAGAATAAGAAACTAACTGGGATGATGAGATAAAGCCTATCAAAATCCCAGCACCTTTATTCATTAATCACTCAGACCTGCAGTATTAAGACATTGCAACAAAGAACATTTGGCAGTTTTCACCATTTCCCTTTCCTTGCTGTCGTAAGAGCTGGATTATTTTTGCTGAAACTTTTCCCAGAAACATTCTGTTCCGCATGTGAACAACCAAACCTATTTTCACTAATAGAAGCTGGCCAACCATCATAGCAGCAATCACTAGTTCTGCTGCCTATGACAGGTAATGAAAGACTACCAACATGCAAAGTTCAGCATCAGAAGTATGAGCAACCAGAGCAGTGGAAGAAAAATAACTATTCTCTGCTTATGTGCATTTTTTAATGAACACTTTCTCGTTTCTTTTTCCACTATGATTTTCTCTTGATAAAGAAGGAGAAACTCCTACAAGATGCAGAAGTTAGGAAGGAGTCAAATGCCTTGAAGCAAACGAAAATGCAATTAGATTAGCTTATTATTTGGAAATGGGAGAATGTAAAAGTTATCCTTTTTATGGTGTAAGAAAAGTTATTTGAATAAATACATACATACGCCACCTACCCCAAGGTAATACTAGATTTCAGTTGAAACCCCAATCATCTTATTTTTTTAATTACCAAAATAAAGTTATAAATCTACGCCCAAAAAACATTTAAAATGTTGTATCACAAACCCATCCGTCAAGGAACTTGCTTCACATTTTATTTACTGCATGACTGTAACAGTTCTGTAATTCCCTTTCTATCCCTTGGGATTCTATTTATTTTCAGTATTTAATTTGGGCAATCACTTGCTTACCTTTCCTGGAAAGCTCAGAAACTCATCTGCTGTGTCACGTATGTCTTTAAGAGGTACGTTAGCAATGCTGCCAAAGTCAATGTACTTTACCACAACTGCTTCAGGATGTGGCAACCCTTCAAGAAAAAAAAAAAACCCACAGACAAAATCAAATTATTAACACCAAGGACTATGAAGTCTTAGCTTAAGCACTAGAATCCTAAAGTAATTTCCACCCCAATGAAAACACAGTATTTTCAAGTACTCCAAAAGCTAATGTAACAACTGTATTATTTTTAATAGCTAGCTCTTTCCAATTTCTGAAACAATAAGATTTAGCATTCTGAACCCAACACATCATTTCCAAAGATGCTGCCACATTAACTACAAGTAGATACATATGCAAGTTTGCATACAGGCAAGTTAAATTTGAGATCACCACAACTAAATGCACTATTCTCCTCTCGCCTCTCATGTCTTGGAGACTAACTGTGGGAAATTATCAACCCACACCAACTGCAATTCCAGATTGGATATAACAGACAAACCTGAAGATGAAACTGTAATGCTCAGTGAAACAGTATTTAATTATATGACAGAATTTCAGCCAGATTCTGACAATGAAAAGTATTTTAATTATTTAAATTAGACTATATAAAACATTTCATTAAGTGAAAAAAAACCAAACAAACACACATCAGTGCTCCTGAACTGACAGACACAGCTATAAGCACAAGACTATCCAGTGGAAAACAGTATCTGTTCCTTCTCATATCTAGAGGGCAATTCTGCTCTAGTATCACATCTGATTCTGAAACTCAGCATTACAGGGAAAGAATCAGTACTTCACCTATGATCTGTGCTCTGTACCAGTTGCCACTTTTGTGTCTTGCAATGCAAGTTTGGCCTTCAACTGGGCAAGCAATTGTCTTGTCTTTGCTATTCCAATGTTCTTGTATTTCTTCAGTTTTCACTGGAAATGCTAAACCCACCTGACTACCTGCCTAAAATAAGAACAATTAAACATTCTGTGATATGTCAAACATTTCTTGATTCTTATAATTCTATTTTTGCTCTTTTAAGGGATACTTTTTTTTCTGGTAATGCACTCAGTCACATCATCTGGGAAGGTAGTTATGGACGTGAAAAATGAACTAAAGAGCCTAAGAATTATTCACTACTGCCCTGTTCAACCACCACTCCAAGGAAAGAAACACTACGTACCCACGCACAAATTAATACAAGAGAAAGAGAGAGAGAAAGAGAGAGAGAAAGAGAGAGAGAAAGAGAGAGAGAAAGAGAGAGAGAGAAAGACGATCTTTGTGGAATTCTAGAAATTGCTGGTTCTAATCTAGGATTCTAGGAATTCATCTGTTAATGCCAGGAATTCTAAACTGATAACAGAAATTAACTAGATATCATATCTCATTTGAAGCTCATAATTAACTCAATATAAAAATATCTGTACAGACCCCATTTCTAAGCTTACCAATTGCAGATAAAAATCACTTGGACTATTAATACGACAAACTGTAACAGAGAACACGTCTCTTTCTTGTGGCATCTTAGGTGCACTACACTGCAACACCGTATTATTCTCTAAGTGGTTGGGAAGATGTGATTTAAACCTAAGGTGAAGAAGATGATTTTAAATAAGTTATGCGAAAACTGAGAAGGAAGACTTTTAGACTCGTGTTGATTTCACTGCAAAGAAACAAATATGATCTCAAAAAAAAAAAAACAAAAAAACTTGTTCCACAGTCACATGAATAGCTTGAACTCTCTTCAGTCTGTGCCACCAAGCCTAATGCTTTTCCTGCCACAGCAATAGTGATGTATGGCAGCTGATTCCTAAGAATATTGTTATTTGGGAAGCAGCACTGTACATTTAAACCGTACTAAAAAACACCACCATCCACTGAATTCCACACTGCCAAAACCATTTAAAAAATCTTCTTTCCCACACTTAGTGCAGAAGCCCTAAAAATCATCCCCCACTACTATCACCACAGCTAGTTACATTCAAATATACACACTTCTCTGTCTGCAGTGGAATTTCCTGAAGATTTGCAGACTACTGTACCCAAACACCAAAGCAACTCCTGCTCTCTTAACCCTCCAAAACAACTTTCTTTGTAAACTTTGCAAGTATGCCATTTTCATCTATGACAGAAGAGCAAAGACCCGAAGAGACCATATACCTTGCCACATCTAAAAAAACCAACGTATCCTTGAGAGACGTGGGCATGTCACTGCATATTTTATTACATGGAGGTTTTCTTAAGTCCACAAAGAGAATGCCATCCTCTTCTCTAAATACCGTCATTAAAACAGCTTTATTATTTACCATTCCTAGAAATATTTTCTTTGCTTCTTCTCCCCAGCCTTCACTCTATGTTAAAAAGAACAAAGAGTTACTGAAGAGGTCTAAGACTGTCAAACAAAGCATAAAAAAAATAAGTAAGCACAGAAGCACACGAACAGAAGAGTGTTCAGTATTTCATGTCAGCACTGATCCGATAGCACAAGACAGTATTTTATGAGGACTTCTAAAATATTTTAACTGTAAAACTGAGTCAAATCTCGGGGATGCAATTTCTGCAATGCTTCTTTTAAACTCAAACCTCAAGATTTCATTCCCCCTGACTTTTTTTGATAGATAAACTTGAACAGCCATATGCTGTTTCATCTCATGATTTGCATTCCTATCTCCTGATTTGTCTGAAAGTTCGTTCTTTTCTTTTTCTATCTTCATACCAATGCACAACCCAATTCAGTCAGTTTGAACATTCCTTCTCTCCACAACACCCTTTTTGATGTTTTATCTACCTTGGAGCAGCCCCTCTAAGTTTACTTCCCTTGGATCAAACTAAAGCATTTCTCATTTGACACTTCACATCTCTCTTTTTTGGATCTTAGGATCCAAGCACATGCACAACATCTTATCCAGACCTGTGAAAACTATTCCTGATCTGTCCTTCTTGAGAGCACTTCAGAAAATATCAGGTTAAAAAAGAAAAACAGACAACCAAGCAAAAAACCTTGAAGAAATGATAAAACAACCCTGGGGTTATACCGTCAGAAACACACAACTGCATCACACATAAACTGTGGCACAAAATTTGAAGTAACAGAAGGAAAACCTCTGAACAAATTATCTTAAAAATCCTGAGTCACTTCACATAGCTGTCAGCCAGGCATGAAATAAGTTCTATAATTTGTCTTTCAATTTGATAAGCCTAGAGCCAAAGAAAAGAGACTGAAGTCTGACATATATCCATAAATCCAGAGGCTTTTAAAGACAGACTGCTGTATGTTTGCTTCCAAATAAACCAGTGTAACCAATCTTTTCAAGTACATATATACATATAAATGCATACATATAAAAACACACACACTGTTAGGAGTTTTCTTTCTTAGGAGTTTACACTGGAATAAGAGAATTATATACTGTTCACTGAAATTCTTTAATATGAATCTTAAAAAAAAAAAAAAATATCATTATCCAGTAGTAGAAACAGCTTTTACTTACTGCATTTTTAGGAACAATATCTTTCAATGAACACAGTACTGCTAAGGGAGGAATGGCTGCAAGTTCAGCCTCAATACGTTGATCAGGCTTCCTCATAAGCAAGCAAATGTCATCAGTTTGCATAGTTTGTAGAGCAGCGAGATCAGCAGGAGCATATCTAAAGCCAGTGGAAATAAAAATAGTACCAACTTGAAAGAAATGCCAAGAAAACCCTCAAAAAACACCTCCCCCCCTTCAAAAAAACAACCCAAACAAAATTATAAACTTGAGAAAAAGGTCATTATTGTAGTAATTGGCATAACACCGTAATACTGAAACTTCTGTAACATCTAGCACTTGAATAAATGCATTTCTCCACTTTTAAGCATTAAGGACTTCCATCTCTGCAACAGATGTCCAAGTTACACATGTTGATATGTGAACATTCGTACACTTGTCTACTTACACAACCTCCCATTTTTCTTCTGTGGGCAACAGCTACGTACAGAACACCAGTGCCACGTGCATACCCCATCAGCAGCCTGTGCTAAGAGTACTGGCTGGCTGAAGATTTGTTTCTTCACAGAGATCCTCTTGAGTACCAACAGCCAAAGGACACTCATTGCAGATGAACAACCCCCACTTTACCTTGAGAAATTAAATACTTCAGAACTCCCAAAATCGATCAGAAATATTTCAATCACTGCGATATCACAAACTCTGCATCTCATTGGACCACCCGTCTTCTGCTTGTTAGTAGCTTTTATGGGAATTAGTTTAGTGACAGTTCCACGGCACCACATTCCGGTTTCCCTCCTCTTTATAAAAGCTCTGACGCCTTTATGGAAACAAATAATAAAAAATGTAAATTAAGGATTTACAGCTATATTGCTCTTTAAGTATTACTACACATCTTCAAAACATTCCACTGCTTTCTACCTTCAATGCAAGAGGTGCTGTTAAAATGAAGACATAAAGATGTTAATAACCTTGCCTTGGTATCTGTCAGAAGCTCTCCCCACATTCATTTACATGGTGTCTGCACAGCTTACAGGTGGCTGGCTTGTACTCAGAAATCATTTCTGGCAAGCGTTCCGCATCTTCTACCGAAATGCCAGAACCAATTAACGTCTAGTTCATTTGCAAATAATACAGTCAAAACTTATATAAAACCCAACTCTTTTAAGAAAAAAGTCTAAACCACTTCCTCATAACATCAAAAGGTTCCAAAATTTACACCTTCCTACAAGTTCCTATTTCTGCATAAAACCGAGAGTTTGAGTGTGCTATCTCCAAAATTCACAAAGAAAATCTCTCCAATAAAATTATTCATACTTTCCAAGGTAATTTTCAGTGAAACTCCCAACTCAGGATTATAAGGTACTTGTCACTTCTCTGAACACCTTCTAGAAATACCAACATGTGAGGCAGAAAACAGCTGTAATGATTTAGCAATGCATTATTCTACTGTTCTTCATTTTTACTTCCAATAGTTTCTCTCCTGTTAGTGAACTGTAAACAAAACCATCTATCCCCCAGAAAGGAAAACAGCTTGCATTAAGACAAAACAGACTTAGTGAAGTATTCAAAGAACTAATCTGGTCTAGTCATTAAAATCTGTATACTGAAAAAGACCTCAGTAGTTAAAAAGTACCACCCAATGCTGGAAAGTTTCAGCAGTGGAAACCTGTCTGTCACAATTTTAGTTACTTTAAGCACTGAAATTATTGAAGAATTGAAGATGCATTTTCTTGTTCCGTAATTTTCTTTTGTACGATTTAAATCCACCTTTCAGAACAGTAAAGAATAATGCTGCCTTCCACTCCCCCATTAATTGCAGATTTTTGAACATTCTACACTGGTTTCCTATGCAAATAAATAAAAAACAGGAAGATATAAGGAACAAATATTTTGCTAAAGATGACATTATGCAAGGTAGTATTTTAAGCTAATTCAGGCTTTACAAAGATGTTTGAAACATTCAATTTACCTGGTTCCAAAACATCCGAAGCCAAGAAATACGAACTTTTATTACAACAGAAATTATTCAATTTCATCTCCAAAAAAGCACCTTCTCTCCTCTGTGAGTATCGCTGAATATAGAAGTGGCACGGATTTACAACGTGACTTACAAACACCAGTTCTGTTGAACCTGAGCAGGACAAACAGCACATAAAACACCATTCAAGTGGTTCTAATAGATATTACTACACACGTGACTAGGCTTACATTGCAATCATGACATAACCACACTTTTCAACCCAGAACAGTTTGCTCCTACTGGTTTCAAATGAGTTATGTACTTCCAGCCAGACTAAATCTGCTCTTTTGATCACTAAGATTTATCTCCCTTAAACTACTCCACAAAACTAAATGCTGTCTCACTTCTTACAAAACGGCCTCTTGATCTTAAGTAGGTAATTCAGATCTTTTATCCCCTTTATTTAACAGAAGTCTAAGAGGCTTCTAGAAAGTAGATTAGAGAGCCTAATACACCTATCTGTAAGAGCAGGAATCATAAGGACTTTCATACAGCTGTTGTGTCACCGTATGAAGATCAAAGAATATCCCAAAGAACATCCTGAGTTGGAAATGACCTACAAGGATCACTGAGTCAAACTTCTGGCTTTGCATTGATGAAACTGCGTGTCTGAAAGCACTGCCAAAAAGCTCCTTGAACTCTGGCAGTCATGGTTGTCCTGCAATTATTTTAAAGATTCTCTTCTGTACAACACTACTTCTGACTCAGCATCCTGATCCTATGTGTTGCAGTTAACTCCTTTCAATTTGAGATGCAAAATACTGAGTTATCCTTTTAAAGCTAGTCACCAAAGGGAGTGGATAGGAATGACTGGTTTAGAAGCCCAGCATCTCAGTTCCTGCAAGGGTATTTTACAACACAATACTTGCAAAGACTGGAGAGCGTCAGTACTACAAACAGCTGCCATCTCTACTGCATCCAGTGTCACCTGTGCAATTGGCTTGGGTGCAGGTAACTGGCAAATCTGAAGAACCCAGTGAGCCACGACCAACCACAGCCAAAAGCAATATAAAGAATTCAACATTCAAAACCAGAGAAAGTACACTGAACTGTACTTTTGAAACTTAGGAAATGCAGCATCCAGAACAGACCCAGGATTATTCTTGGACATCTCCAACAGTGAAGAACAGTATGTAAGTTGAAGTCCAAATGAGTCAGAACATTTAACCTCCAGGTACACTAACTCTTCCATATCACCCATGCTGGAAGACACCATCTTCTAACCATTCTGTCCAGTCTTCTTATAGAGCAGTCAGTGGATTTACAAGTTACTTGAGATTAAATGGATAGGTTAGGAGTGCTTTTACATGATTGTGAGGTTAAAAATGCAGAAACAATGGTGCAGTTTCTTAGTATCTCTTCTTTGCTAATACTGTGACTGAGATCTGCTTCCTCCTCTATCAACTTTCTGTGTCAGTTTCCTTCTTCCTCAACACTGGGATCTCTACTCAACCTTTATCACTATTTCTTATACTCAATGATGCCTACAGAATTTGTGAATCAAGTAATCAAATAATCAGTCTGGTGCACGTTCACTCATAATTCAGAATACTAAACATACATGGAAAGAAGCAACAGTTCATAACTCAATAAATTACTGATTTAAGAAGTGGGTCCAACTGCCCACAAGATCACTGATACACTGAGTGTCTACCATGTGCTGAGAACACTGCCAATGCTGAGCTTCCAAGAGTTGCTTAGGAGCTGATGTATTACATCTTCCAATTAAGTACAAGGTTTAGGTCAGATGCTAGGAGGAAGTTTTTCCACTCAGAGGGTGGTGTCACACTGGAACAGGTCGCCCAAGGAGGTTGTGGATGCCCCATCCCTGGAGCCAGTCAAGGCCAGGCTGGATGTGGCTCTGGGCAGCCTGGAGTGGTGGTTGGTGACCCTGCACACAGCAGGGGGTTGAAACTAGATGGTTATTGTGATCCTTCTCAATCCAGGCCATTCTATGATCTTGAAAGACAATATAGTTTGGAAGTGAGACAATCAAAGAGCACCTTTGCAGAGTAAAAGAATGACATCAGCAAGATAAGCAATGCCCAAACTGGTTTAACTGGAAGTAATTCATATGACCCACTGATCTTACATGTGAGCAAATACACGTTAACAAGCCAAAATCAGAATCTGTTTCTTAGTACATTCCCGATCTCAACTAGAATGCTGATGTGTATGTCTAACTCTGTAAGCAGTTCCACAGCTCTGCCTCGCTGCTTAGAGGGTGCATTTTTTTTTTTTTTTTTTTTTTTTTTTTTTTTAAAGCATCTATCTGTTCACCTGACAGGAAAGAAAAACCAAAACAAAACCAACTGACCAGCTCTGTGCTCAGAGTATGCTTGCTTCTTGAAAAGTTTCTTCCTCTGTTTGTCATGATGATTTCCTGTGGGAAATCCTGTTTCATTGTTTGAGGAAAAAAAAAAGTTTAATGTTAGTTTTTATACACACAGAGTAAATCAGCCAACAAAATAAAGAGAAGTGATGCACATGACAGTAATAAGCTACAAAACCATCAAAATTTCCTAACTGTTGTATCCATGCTACTACACTGCATCTGCTTGTTCCATCAGAAATTATGTTTTCTGCCTTTGCAGCATGCTAATGATACACACTTACTCTACAAAAGTCTCAAAAAAAAAACAAAAACAACCACACCTCATTGTTCTATCCCAAAACAGGCATCCTTTCAACTAACTACAGTTAGTCCATTTTGAGTTTCAAGAAAGGCATACAGTGTTTGTACAGATGTGCATGGAGCTCCAAGGACACTTGTATCCATGACTACAAGCAGCTGTTAAGGCCACCAATGTCACCTAACATCTTCTGTTCTCTCATCAGTCTCTGCTGTTGGCTTTTCACCAGTTTCTTAATGTTTTACAGCTTTTGGCTATTTATTTTGCCTTTAAGTACAGATACTCTGTATTCCAGACTTCCATACATCACTGGAGATTTCCTTGAAGGCTGCAAGAAGGATTTCCTGTCATACCTAAATTGCCTACAGAAGTGACCTTAAGATTCAGCTCTGGGAGAAGCTTGTCATTCCTGTGGGCAACTCAACAGAAATGCCCCTGGAGTGCATACTTCTAGAAGGCACTCTGAAGCATGAACGACCGCATTTATCTGCAGTACAGCACTCAGCGGCTGACGCAGAAGTTTTCATCTACCACATCACGAACCCTTGCAAAGACATCATTTGAGTGACAACAGGCAGCTAAAATCTTCAGCGTTCAGTGACAGGAATAGCTAGTTTCTGGTAACCTCCATTTACCTGCAATTCAATGCAAGGCGAATGGAAAAAAGTGTATTCTCTGAATTCTACTGTTTCAGAGAGAGCACAGAAGCTGCCAACATAGGCAGTAATCCCTCTGCTCTCAGGAAACAGACATACTGGAAGCTGAAGAAACTAATACTCCCTTATGAACAAAGGGGGAAACAAGATCGCTGAACAGAAACCTAAGGGTGTATCATCATCATCATATTTCTCTATCACATTCTTTTAGCTCTGAACAGAGACTAAGAATACACACATTTAGGCCCTGTAGAAAGGCTAAATTATTCACTGATGGAGCACACATGCAAGACCTTTGACAGGTATCAACATCTGTAAAGCACAAATGCCTCAATTTACAATTGAGTGCCAAAGGGCAATGAAAAAGACTACTATCACTCAGTACTGTTCAGAAAAGCTTGAGGAAAGAAAAGCTTTTGGAAAGGATGAGACCCAACCCCAAATATAAAACTTATCTGTTTAGCTAGATTGGCTTCTAGAAATAAACCCTTTCCTGCTCTAAGAATTTTCTTTTAAGTCAGTGAGTCATGCAATACCCTTATTACAAGATGGCAAGCAATCTCATCTACCATTATTGCTCTTTTCCTGTTCATAAAAAAGCCTCTGGCAGCCACAGGCTATGATTCACTACAAACACTAATCAAATCTCCTGAAGATTTGATGTCACAATAACCATTTTCCAATTTGAGTACAGGCAACATCTTCTGCCTGACTGAAACACACTGGATTCAACAGTATCAAATGATAATCTATTTTTCCATAAGCATTCCCTGAGATCATTTGTAACCCTAATCCTAACTTTTTCTTAACAGCCTCTTGTCACTACATCAGTACTAACCTGGCTGTTACTGAAGGCAACAGATCAGTATCATTCAAAGTTCACAGAATTTCAGTCCCTTCCCACTTCAACAGCAAACTATCAAAAAATACTCCCTGGGCATTCCACAAATTCTGTAGCCACTCCATTAATCTCAAAGGACAGTCACTCCTGATTATCAAACTGCTCCACCCACCTCAGTAATATCAGTGGCTTATACTGCCTGAGAATATTCACCTTCCTTGTGACTTCTGATATATATTTTTAAATCTAAATGAGAACTGCTCTTCTCATTATCGTCAGCCATGCCAGTTACTGCTCACCCCTGTAGTATTTTTATTCCTGTTATCTAAGTGGAATTTTTCATGTTCCGAGTTGCTCTTAGTACCTTCTGCTCTACTACTGTGCACCTCCAGGACTCCAGCTTGGTAGGCTCTGCTGGACTCACTCAAGTATGCCAGAGACTTGCAGGGTCCAAAACTGTGTGCTGCACTCCATATTCAGTCTCAGAAGTGCCCATCGGAGGCAGGGTCACTTCCCAGCTGTTTTGTAAATAACAGAGTCCAGAAAAAACCTTACAAACTGTAGAACTTAACTGTACTTGCCAGTTATGACAATGCCTTAGATTCAGAAGCCCAGAGAACTGCCAGAATTGCACCCTCCAAGAACCAGCGACAGAAAGTCTGAGAGGGCCTAAATGACTGAGGAAGGCAAGAAACCGTTCAGGGGGAGGTCAATCGTGACTCCTGCTCAGGAGAACTGGGAGTTTTTGCTTAGCTAAGCTAAAGAAGGACACCAAAAAAAGGTACTGGAGTATTTCAAAGACAATGAAATACAAGTATCATAAAGACTTTGCTCTGAGCTAGCAATAAGCACAACTAATAAAAACGTTTGACATCTGAAAACTAAAAGCATCAGGTATTGAAAAGCTTACTTTCTAGATTATCTTCATATATTTCTTCTATTATTACATCAGGACTGGATGGAGACTTGGATACAGCATGAATATTCTGATGAGGTACCACAGGAAGTGATTCCTTAACCTTTTTCACTCCTTCACAAATACCAAGTTTATTAGCCAGAGCCTTTTCTTTACTTTCTCTTTTATGTGCTGGAACCATATTTTCTACAGGTAACCGGTTATCTGAGCGTGGCATTTTTTCTCTGTCACCAAAGGCAAGAGCACGCTGTCCATTACCTTCACTGCATTTGGGAAAATGAGATAAATTAATCCAGTCTGTTTGCAGAGAAACACAGGAGTCAAAGTGCAGGTTTTATTAAGACAACATCCCCTAAAAACTCTACTCTAAAAGCACTTCATAAATGCTGGCTGAAATGAACTGTATTATATAGTGCTTGAATATCAAGACAGCAGAACAGCAACACAATTTCTGAAACCTAAGTAAGATTGGCACCTATTGGGTACATATTCTTGGGCCCAGCTGAGTACACACAACATGAAGTATTTGGAAAACACTGGCAGCATGACAGACAGTTCACGTTAAAGTCAAAAGGCCTGCCAGATGTCCTACTACTGGCAGTTACAGCATGTAGTAACACTTTTTAATATAACCAGAGCTAACTGGAGGAGCCCTCACAACAAGTCCATTTCATTTTCTCAAGTTTTTGTCTAAGGCTGCAGGAAAAAATTAATCCAAGAGACAAATAACATAAAAGCAATTGTAATCTTGAAAGTATTTTTCTTCTTACTCATCTTAGGTCACTTATTTGTGTCTGTGATAACCCAAAGTTCAGATTACAAAGCAAAAACATTACAAATTTTAGTATTTGCCACTGATTTGAGAGATTTATTTACAGTAATGTGAGCCAATTTCAACATGCTGAAGTGATAAACATTTCTATTGTTATCAATAAACACCAAATCTGAAAAGCACACAGCATAAGAAAAAATACTGAAAGCTTAATTGCTTTAGGGAGATAATAGCTGTACTTCTTTTTTTCCACACAACAGAAGCATCGAAACTGAAATGCTAAGTGGATTAATGAAGTGTTGACTGAAACATAAATAACTCAGATTTCAGTTTGGTTCATTATGTATTTACAAAGCATTAGCTTTTTTCCATTCACTCTCTCTATAGCCACAGAAAGATTAAATGACTGTACTTATTAAATTATTGTACCTATTGCTCTTCATTAAGAAATACTTACTATACCAATGTTTCCCATTCAATCTTCCCCATATTTCGTAAGAACGAAATAATCTCATCTGTGCTCAGGAACAATCTCGAGAGAAAAACCATCACAGCCATCACCACAAATGTCTGTATCACTAGCAGTTTAATACACGTGATGCTTTTTGGCACAAAATTGTCATGCACAGGCAGAAGGAGACACTTTAACACAGGGTCATTCTTTCACTCCTGTGAACTTTGAGCTCATTTGTTTTCACACGCGTAACAGCAATTCTCCTGCCCTCCCTTGCTTTTTATTTCTCATGCACAGGGCACTCCAACATTTCCTTGCTCAGTTTTTGCATCTACCTCACGCATCACCACGGATTTCTTCTCAGACACCAAGAAGCACTCATTTTTGCAGCAGGTTAGGACGGATATCAAGTATAATAATTCAACATTTGCCCCTCACACTTCTAGTCGCAAGGGAAGGGGACGAAGTTTAGAAGGGGCAGATTTCTGTTAAGGGTATTTTCAATACATACGTATTTCTCTACACACCAGTACATTTCACGTGCTTTCTCGTGATGCCTCAGATGAAGGCAACTGTGCCTTTCCAGCATTTGTGTATGTCTGAACTACTATTTCTTAGTACCGTGCAAATGAATCAGCTTGGTTTCTGCTGCTTTACTATTAACAGAAAAGCTTTTACAATTGAAAGAACAGTGTGTCCATTTTGCTCTCAATATACCACCCACTTCAGTCCTTTACCTTGGAACTGCTTTTTCCTTCAAACTCTTCACTTTTGAGAGCTCAGTATCAATTGGAAACGTCAAATCACGAATAACCTGAAATTAGCAAGCGCAGTTTTGGTTGGTATTATACAAAAAAGCAAATCATGCAAGAACCTGTATTTACAATTTGATGAAGTCAGAATGAAATGCCTTTAATTCTACAAAAAAAAAAAAACCACCCAGAAACACACTCATTAGAAGGCAGTAGCCAGCTCTTAGGTAGGTCTTCCTGGATTACTAACACTCAGTCGGGGATTTTGTAACCACAGCATGTAACTGGAAGCAAGAGTTGGATTGTTCTTTTGCACTGACAGCAACTCGGAAGGCAATACTAAACAAAAAGGTGGGCCTATGGGAGGAGAACTGTGGGTGCCAGGTCCCATAGTTTAGGTTGAACAAAGTTAAGAACAAATGCCAAAAAAAAGGTGCAAGGGATAAGATTTCCTTCTTGGGTCAGATGTGGGACACCAAGCTTCTGCACATGGGAAGTGGCATTGGATGCAGAAAATATGACAGTCTAACAATCAAACTGCATGGAAAAATATCTAATGAATAACAAATAACGATTCCACAATTCTGCTTAACACAAGGATTAAAAAGCTCCAAATGCAATAATAAGGTGATCAATTTAGAATAACAGAGGAAGTTCTTCAATATCCATTCCATTTTAAGAATTAAAACATGGAACAAAGTGTCACTACATATGCAAACATACACATGACATACACATGAAGGCCCATGCACTACAGAAATCAACCTTTCAATTCAGATAATCCCTCCACACATCTTTCCCTCTCTGTTGGCAAAGAGAGGTGACCTCACTGTATGGAGCTTTGGTCTGATACAGTACTGCAGGTACCATGCATTTCTGTAACTAACAGTTCTAATGTAGAGGAATTGTGGAAGTGAAGGCCTAGAATCAGGAGGATCTGCAGAGCATACTGAATTTTGGCATATTTCAGTGAGGAGGCTGGAGATCTCCAGATAGGACAAGGATTAAGATGAGTGTGAAATCATGACAACGCTGCCCTTTCACTGAAAAGCTCTTAGTTTCCTCTCATTCTGCTCCAGCAGCCATTAAAGGAAGCACTGTAAAGCACAGATCATCTTTTTTGTTTCATGTCAATAGCAAGATTCAAATTCGTGGCCAAGATCACCCTTGAACTGGCAGGGTGCATGCAGAGATGTACAGAACACATTACTGCAAAAACCTCATTATTTAAGTTAACGAAACAAAAAACAGATGATGAAAACTTTCACGTTCAGATTTGTATTGTTACCTAATTTTCCCTACCTGAGACAGGTCACAGTATGTTCTTACAGAAGGTGTAATTTTTAGTTCCTTTGCGATCCTAATGGCACCAATCAAGCATTTTTTCTTCTCTTCTATGTATCGCTTAGCTGTTGCAATACCAACACTGTAGTTGTCCATGCTCTTCACTAATTCTGCATGCAGTTTCCTTTTCCTGTATTAAAAACTTTACTTTCAGAAATTTATTAAGCACTCATCACATCAGATTCAAACTCTTGACTATGAAATACAATTACTGGTTATACTACCTGGATGCAACTCACAAACACTGTTTTCTTCACACAACAGCATAGAAACCCAATACAGAAGTCACAGAAAGCAAAGAACTTCAAGAGAATTTATAAAGAAAAGCTGTTTCCTTTGGATAAATCATTTTTTTCTTTCCGTATTTAAAATCACAATGCCACTCAAGCCTACAGAATATTCCATAACATCCAGTAGATAACTAAACTGTTGGATTTTACAACTCAAGAGTTTTAAGATCTGCCTTTTAGATGTTTTACTAAGCTTTTGTACAAAGGCACACAGCACTTTAAGTATCTATATATAAATCTGAAATACAAATATTCTTAAAGATGAGGGAATAAGAATCCTTGGGTTTGTCCTTGTCAACATTTGTAGAAAGCAGGTTTTTTTATTTTTTTTTTAAGCTTTCCCTGCTGTTAAAATGATCATTAATACCAGAGATTTTTTTTTTTTTTCTTTGTCTGAAAAACAGAGGCTGCATGTGCTGGTGTTTTCCAACTATGCAAACCAGCTCCAGGAACTAAGATACAATTATGAACAAGTAAAAATACTGCAGAAAAACTAAAGCAGAGATTTATCAAATTGTTTTGAAGAACATTGAAAAGCTCTTGGAACAACTTGCACATCCTATTCAGAAGGGAACACTACCTTGACAGGATACAAGTAGTAAGTTCATCAAGTTTTCTATCCAGAGTTTCTGAAACTTTGCCTCCTTCTTGCTTCACCTCCAATTCCAAGCGTTTCAGTACCTATTTCATTCAGCATGGAATAAACATGTATTTATTTATTATTCACGTTATTTTTTTCCAATTTTAAATTCAGAACAAAACAGAACAGAATCAATTAACAGAAAGACAGTGAGAAGCAGCAGAGGTACATGGAAGTGTACAGCGGTTTCTATAAAAGAAGAAATCAGAAGACGATTACATAAATAATATACAACAATAGTTAGGAGCCTAGTAACCCTTTTTGTTTTCTCTAACTTCTAATTTCAAACAAAAACAGGAACTGGCACACAGGAGGTTTCTTCTGAACACAAGAAGCCCTTCTGTGCTGTGTGGGTGACAGAACCCAGGCGCAGGCTGCTCAGGGGCTGTGCATTCTCCTCCTCAGAGGTCTTCCATAGCTGCCTGGACGTGGCCCTGGGTGGGTCCTAAGGACACTTCAATGCCATGATTACTAGAATGAGTCTGGCTTTAAGCTTTTGGATCACTGAACATTTCTATGCTGTCTATCTTACAGTACACATAAAATATAAGTTAATAGCAGACACAGAAATGCAAGCTTTTCCATGGAAAAGAATGCGTAACGCTCAAGGATTAGCTTATATACGGCTCTGTTTGATGTACAGACTGACCCAGTAACTTCAACTTATGCACAGGGTCAAGTGCTCCATTCAGCCTGGAGCTTAATGCAGTACACCCACAGTAGTAGTGTTAACACCTAAGTACAGGAGATGCTGAAACAAAGCCACTAAGAGCATATCTGAACAACGTGTTTGTGTGCAAGTACTCAGAACAAAAAGCTTTTACCTTGGCTAATATTATATTAAGCAAATCCCAAAATGTTTGTTCTCACCCACCTCATGTGCATCTTGTAAGCAGCTGAGATTACAAACGCCTGCCCACAAAGCTTCATCAATATCTTCTATAGTTTCATTTTCCTAGGGAAAGATTCGCCGATGAATGAGTTGCTTACGCGACTAGGAGATAACATGGGCTAAGCCCATTTGCAGCTTTGACAGACGAGCACTTGAGTTGGCTGCCACTGATCTTCCAAAGGACCGGCATCTACGTCACATTCTGCTGAATACACAGCGTTTATTTGCATGCATGCATGCACACAGAAAAATAAAGAAGCAAATGCATGAAGCGCATGAAGGAAAACCAAAGCAAAATGACTAACACAAAGCAAAGGAAGTATGCCAAACTGAAGAAAGAAAAAAATACAGCAGTCCTCTCAAAGTGCAGTATTTATGGATTTTTTGGAGGGGGAGGGAGAATGGGGGTAAAACCAGGAACAACAACAGCAAGAAAATTAACAAGTTCCCAGTGTGATGCTGATGCAAGAAAAACAAGTATTTGAATTATTGATTGAAATAGAAGCAAATACACACATACAGAAGTGCGTTTTTCTGCCACGAGCAATGCTAAAGCTTGTGTTAAGGGGTCTGTTAGAGCTCTGGCACTTTGCTTAGAACAAAACATCTGCTTAGGATGTCCCAAAAAAGTCAAGCACCAGTAAGTCTGACACTATTAGAAAACAAACTTATTCTGCCAAAATTCAACTTAATATGCAAATATCTTCAATCTCCGAAGAATTTCGTCCTTACCAATTAAGGAGAACAAACACAACAGACAGAGGTTAAAACTTGAGTTTGAAAACCTGGAACAGTTCTGCTTCTAACCAAATGCCAGGGTAGGAGAAAGGAAGCACCACCTTTGCAGCATGATGAGGGAGAGACAAACATTCACACTGACATGTAGTTAACGGAGGACGTTTGTTTATACCTTCATCTCTGGAAGATATTTTCAACTACCTATATCCCAACAGCTCAAATCAATTATGTGTCCTTTTTAAGAGCAGAGAACTGGCAGAATCATAGAATCACAAGGTCGCAAAGTACCCACAAGATCATCCAGTCCAACCCTCCTCCTGTCACCATTACTACTCACTAAGCTACTAAACTGTATCGCATACTCTGAAAACCCTCCAAGTCACACTTCCCTATGCCAACCAACGCCACTCTTCTTTTGAAGACATTGAAATACCATGGAATTACTTAAGATCTGTGACTGAAGGTATTCCAAAGATGACCTAAGGCCATCTGCTTTAGTATTTTGTCAACATTAACATATCGAAGTTTAAGGTTTATTTGGTTTATTTATTATTGGCATTCCAGAGATGTTCAGAAAAAAATTCGAACTTTAATGTGCACTGCTACAAGAACTACATAAGAAACCAAAACAGACACTTTCAACTTAACGTGCTTTCAAAGTAACCTTACAGGATGATTTCCATGCAAAAAATAGGACTGGCAGAAGCTATACCACTAATTCCTATTTAATTGTCAATTTAAAATACATATAAAATTTTTTCACCCCGCCTGAAACTTTACAAATTTCATTCAGCTGCTTAGAGAACTTACACATCTCTCTTAAAACACTGTTTTATTCAAACACTGTTCTGCCTGCCTTTTTGCCATGAGAAACTACTAGATTCCTTTAAGAATGTGCTGCACATGCCCTGCAGCAGCCTTGAGTTTGAAAAGAAAGAAAAAGACCCCAACCAAATAATAAAAAGCCTCAAGAGTGTGTAGGTTTGTAATTTTTTCTCCAAATTAGATTCAAAATACGTAACAGCACAGCCAGCTGAACACATTAACCCTCTTCAGCTACGATCTTGTTAGGTGCACGCAGAATTCACTGTTACCTCATAACTAACAGTTGCACTTGAAATCCACATCAAATCAGAACTACTGAAGTTGTAAACTTTTGTGTTTTAAGTAATGCAGTATTAACCATGCACACAAAAACATTAAGTGCAAATATAAGGAAATGGAACATCAACACACCGTGTCTCCTGGTGGAACGAGTAGTTCAGACTTCTGCCCATTGCTTGAGGAAACCAAGCGCTGAACATTCTTCTCTCCAGTGACAGACCTGAAGGGCCTGCAAAACAAGACTTCAAGGAAAAACCTACACATTCTCAATAAAATAAACTTCCCCCCAAAATTTTAATGGTCAGTTAAGTCTTTCCAAACATTTAATTAAGCACACGTACACAGAGTTGAATTTACATGGTGATACACCAGACGTACTTCATTTTGAAGTTTCCTTCCTACCAGTATCATCTTAAAATTGATCTGTAGCATCTACTATTTTATAGAGCAATTTTGGCAAGGCAAAATAAAAGCTTCCAAGGTAGTAATGATTCTTCACTCTAGATGAAAGTAACATGTATGGCTACTAAAATTCCAGCATTTATTTTTCATTTGTTGCCCTAACATTTTCTTTTAGATATCCCATCAAATATCAATGAAGGGGTTAAAAATCTAATAGATGACAGATTATCTCAAAACAATCTACTGACATTGTAGAAAGGCTCTTCAGTGATCTCATAGTGACATATCCCAGCTCTTCTCCAAGACTCTCAAAAAAGCAACCTACAAAAACCAACCAAACTGCAGAGGAAGGACCAGTTGTTCTTGCACTCAGCTTGTTTCTAATGGTCTGCAAAAGAACTTGGAGAACCTTACTGCAAAGGCAGCCGTAAGTAAGTGCACCTTACTCTGAAGTTCAGCGATATCTTACATGCACTTATATCTTAGATAATTTTTAAGGGACTTTAAGGATCATCTCTGGCTATTTTTATTTCTATCAACATGAACCTCCATGGCAATGGCATTACGGGAAACACACCATCTCTTTAATACTCTCTTGAAGTTCACTTTCAGGTAAGCTATGGACATAAATGTAATTTAAGTGTGACCTTAAGAGAACCTTGCTGTCATCTGACCTTCACAGCTGGAAGTGGTCACCTAAGCAGAAGGTGCAGAGGCACAGGAGGGGCTGGAGGACACACCTCAGTGATGCAGTGCTTGTGGGGTTCCAGCACTTCTCCACTCTCCCTCAGAGTCCTTAACATGGAGTTACCCTTAATAACGTACAAAACCTTCAGATCTAAGAGCCAAACCAGACTTACTCTTTTTGCCTTTCAATGAAATATGACTTGCATTTGAAGGTGAGAAATGCAGGAGGCCCTCAGTGCTTGTCTGATGCCCTCAGTTGTTTTTTTAGCAGCACTGAAGAGCCATACTGGGAACACATTAGTACAAACATGCTTAAATTTTTAATTAAAACCATAGATCCAAGAAGTCAGTCAACAAAAAGCTGCTGAAAACACTCAAGTCATTCCTAACCACCCCCTCCCACCCCTCGTGGCATCTAACCACATGAAAAAAAGGTTTACCTCGCTACCCTTTCTGAGGTGCCATCATACAGTCCGAGTTTAACATCTGCTTTGGTCTACAGTCAGAAGGAAAAAGCAGAACAAGTTCAAATACAGATATAAATCCCAGTAAAAAAAAACAAACATAAAACACGCTACCTGTACACATTTCTATGAGACCAAGCTTCACAGCAATCACTGCTCACAGGAGCAACCAGTGGTGCAAGAAAACAGATCTCAAGCTGAAGTTCTGTAGCCATCATTCTCCTTGTGATAAGTAACGTTCCTAGTAGAAGTCAAATGCTCCTTTCCTGTTTACTAAGTACTTTTCCTTACTACGCAAAACTAATAAATGCTCCTGACAAACTGCATATGTAAACTTGTTTTTCAATAACTTCACTAAAATAACTTCAATAAAATTGAATAAAAAAGGCTTAATGTATTCGTGCTTTGCAATTTGGCCAAACCTGACTTTCACAATGGAAATAGCAGAATGGCCACGTCCTATCTTTCAGATACATTAAAAACACCTAAGAAATATTCTGAGTTTTTGTCCAAAACATGGGTTTCTTCCAAAATGCTATCAGAATGTTGAAAATCCTTTCTGCATTACAAGTACAGCATTTTCTTAAAAAAGCTAGAAGGGAGATATTTGTAAGGCACACACTACTGTTTTAAGTGGCTTTTTTTTGTTTGTTTGTTTGTTTGTTTTTTAATAATTTTTTTCAACACAATCATAGAATGGTTGAAAGTCACCTTTATGATCATCTAGCTCCAACCCCCTGCTATAGGCTGGGTCACCTCTTTGTAGACCAGGTTGCTCACAGCCCCATCTAGCCTGGCCCTGAATGTCTCCAGCAAGGGGGCATCCACAACCTCACCAGGCAACCTGTTCCAGTGTCTCACCACCCTCACAAGAATGAATTTCTAATTGGTCCTTTATCTAAATCTACCCCCTTCCAGTTAAAAGCCATTTCCCCTCATCCTGTTGCTACCTGTCTTTACGAAGAATCCCTCCCCAGCTTTCCTGTAGGCCTCCTTCAGGTACTGGAAAGCCACAATAAGGTTCCCTTGGAGCCTTCTCCAGGCTGAAGAGCCCCAGCTCTCTCAGTCTGTTCTCATATGGGAGGTGCTCCAGCTCTCTGATCATCCCTGAGCCCTCCCCGCTGGACCCACTCCAACAGCTCGTTTTATTTGGAATTGACAGAAAAGGGAGAACTATTATCTATTTTAAACACACACACATCAGTTCCTTTCTTGCAGTTATGAGCAAAATGAAGAAGTGGAATGGAGCTGGCAACAATTAACACTGACAACAACTGTAAAGAGCAGGTTTTCCTAAAACCAGGCTTTGAACTTTGCCAGGTGCTAATTGTATACCTATGCTGCATTTACAGATGTGCTAGCAAAGACTCTGTTGGAGAGCTGGAGGCCACAGACAGCACACATTTATCTCTGTCAGGAGCTGAACTTACTTTAACCACATTCCACAACAACCTAGAAAATCTTGTAATACCACTATTCAGAGCATCACTATGACTTCTGAACAGAAAGCTTTAGATCAACCTACTTTTGTAGAAGAGGAACCCCAGAAATTAGTCTCTTCATTGTGCACAACATCACACAACTCTGCAAAAGCAAGCATAGACAGCACTTGACTGTGAGGATTTAAATTGGAGGGCATCTTAACTACTCAGACAATCAGGAATACATAATCACTACAGCAGTTTTGCACATAAACTTAGTGAAGTCAACAGGAATTTGAACACTCACATTTGTGATGGCATATTATGAAAATCTTAAGTCTGGCACATCCGACACACAGCCTGGCACGGCTCAAGATGCCACCCAAACCCCTGTGAAGTGGCAGCTGTTCTACACCACACAGCAGCACTGGGCAAACACCCATCGCTCAGCAACAACCAAACAGTCAGTGTGCTATTAACACTGTGGTGGCTGAAACCACCGCACAGGGAGGGCAGTGCTGGCTTGAGAGATGGCAAATAGTTGTTTGCATTTTGAGACACTGGCTAAACACAGCGCTCTGAACAGAGAAGAATACACAGCCGTGCTTCCTGTTTTAATGAAGGAACATGAAAAAAGGTTTGAAGATCACAAAAATAAATAAATAAATAAATGTTTTTGACACTGTTTCCAATTGATATGAATACCTGCACATTTTCATCTGGAACATTTAGAGCTGCAATTAGACATTCTACTCAGTAATCCAATCATGTCTCTTTATCAGACTTCAGTTATCTCTTAACAGAAGAGAGCATCTTGCATATTTTGTTAACTACAAGCATCCTTTGCTTCACCACCACGTCTCATTCATGTCATGGCTTTTTGGCATTACACACATACATGAAGAATAATTTTCACGGATGAAATAATACACAGATGAGTAAAAAGTCAAAAATCTCCAATGAGCAGCTTATGAATTAGAATTGCAGATACTTCCACTGAACCAGCCTGACTCATTAGCTTCAAAAAACAAGGTCAAATATCCCACTTGTTTTACATTTTTGATTTTTTTTTTTTAATTTAAAGAAGAACAGTGAAGATTAAAATAAGTTTTGTTACCTATATACACGAGCTACATTTTATATTTTGTCAGGACTGCTTCAAAACTAACGTCTCCTACTTTATGTTGTTGGCCCACAACATCAGAGGCAGACAGTGGTGCTACGGCAGTAGAGGCTGATCCTTCTCATCAATACTGTTACATCTGTGGCCATGTGACAGATGGCAGCAGAGAGGTGGTCTGACAAAATGGCATCTGACATGGAAGTGTATATGAAGCAAGGATCTATCAGTGAATTCCTCCATGCTAAAAAAAATGGCACCCACTGACATTCACTGATGCTTGCTGAATGAAGACCAAACAGTGCATGTCAGCATGGTGAGGCAGTGGGTGACGCATTTCAGCAGTGGTTACAATGGGTCACCTCCACTGGTGCAGACTGTTACAAGCAAAGCACACAGGCTCTTGTTTGTGGCTAGGGAAAATGCCAAGCTCATTGTCGTGACTGCACTGAAAGACAGAGCTCTGCAGCTGAGAATTTGCTCTGTCAAGCATTGTTATCATGCTCTTCATAGCTGTTCTAATTTCCATAGAAATAAATAGGAAACATTACTTTCAGAGCGCGTTTATCCAGCCCAAGACAATTCCTCTTTACCCAATGTGGCCCAGCCAAGCCTGAAGGTTGGACATACATTCTGTAAATCCACACATAAATACGCACAAAAATTATATGGAAACTACAGAAAACTTACTCGTATTTAATGACTAGGGTATTATCTGTATGATTAACTGCATAATATTACTGCTACATACAAAAGTATGAAAGTGGAAATAAAAAAGGCAAAAGAAAACACATATTCAAAATATGCTGCTATATTAAGAAAAACTCATGATTTATGAAGTATCTACACATGCACATACTCAACAGAATTTACTGCTCTTAAGAGAAGGCATCAAAGTAAGTTTAATCACATTTTGCAGCCTACCTACTGTCACTGGGAGACCATAGGGCTGGTGAATGAATAATAAACACTGCACCATGCAAAACTGCTGGAAATAAGAGAGCCAAAAATTTACCTTTCATATTCATACCTTTTGAGATACAACTCAAGTCACTCCTGCAACTTGGTCCTGCGCTGTCCTCTTCTAGAATCTTAAGGCATTGCCTTCAGAAATACAGGTTTAAAGCCATTAGGGACACCAACATAACACAAACACTGGTGATTTCCAGCCCTCTTAGAACACAGCTTGCCCAGTTTTACCAAATGGCATTACACAGGAGGAAGGAAGGTTCAGTACCTGAGCCACAAACCACAAACTAACAGTTCGTCACCCACAAAGGCAGCACTGGAGGTTTTAAGGAACAAGATCACTACAACCACCACTAGGAAACTGACTGTGTAACAGTATGAATCACATTTATCTTGTATAACTGATTTAACTAATTTTAACTAATGATATACTGAACCTACCAACAGAGCTATCTACTTGCAGGATACATTCAGATCAATGTAAAATACTCATATCCCAATACCTCAGTACTTGAAAACATCCCAAGACATTCACAACGCTTTCCCCCAAGTCTCCTAAATGCTAAGTGCTCAAGTATACTTGACTGCTAATGTTACAAAAGAAAGTACTCTCACAGCCCAGCACAGACATTATTATCCACATTCCCTCAGTACTGCTTCCCAGTAATTACACTGTCAGAACTTCGGTCACACTGATCTCACCAGCCTCCAAGGCACACACCTGACAGCATTCAGCTTTCTCCTCTTCTGTTCCTCCGCATTACCGCCATCCACAGGGCTCTCCTGCTTTCCTCGCAGCATGTCGTCACACTTTCAACAGGAAAAAAGAAAAAAATGACAAACGCGCACAACGCACACACACTTCTCATCCAACACTGCTGGATGCATCCCTTGGCAAGGCTTTAAGGGAAGAGACGCAGTTCTAGAAAACACCTGTGTTATCCTTGAAAATAAAGCCTTCTGAATGTAAGAGGAGCGGGGGGAGGCGGTCTCTCCTCTCAGCCGGCGCCCGAAGCCCCACCGCTACCGCAGGGCTGCCCAGGGACCACCCGCGCCTCCACAGCGCTCGTCACGGCGACACCGACCCACACGCCTCACACCGCCGATCGCGCACCAAAGCACTGACGGCGCCACCAATCACCGAGAGCCTCGTCCGTCCTTGCTCGCGGCGCAGCCAATCCCAGCGAGGCGGGAAGGCGGTTGCTGTGGGCCGCGCGGGAAGAGTGCGCCGCGGCGCTGTGAGGTGCTGCCCGGCCTCGCCTCCTCCTTCACCCTTTCCCCACCGTGGGTCGGCTGCAAAGGCTGAGGCTCTTCGGTGAAAACGAGGCGTTGCCAAGGCTAAGAGCCGTCAAGTCATACTTTGGGGTTACTATTTTCCATACACGTTCTCATTTCTTTCAGAACAGGAATCACAGAGTCGTTAGGGTTAGAATAGACCGCTGAGATCCCTTAGTCCATCCACCAGCCCATTCCCACTGTGCTCACTAACCGTGGCCCTCAGTGCCACATCTCCATGGTTTTTGAACACCTCCAGGGACAGTGACTGCACCAGCTCCCTGGGCAGCCTGTGCCACTGCCTCACCATGCTTTCTGAGAAGAAATATCCAACCTGAGCCTCCTCCGTCACAACTTCCAGTATTTTACCATTCCTGTTTTGGCTATCATAAAATTAGCATGCTTCCACATTTCTATTTAATTCACAAATACGAAAACACAGCTAACACCACTTATATCCCCTTTCAATTTTAGAAGCTTTTCTTGCCAAATCATAAGCCGAGCCAGATTTCAAAGAGAATCACAGAATCATAGCATTCACAAGGTTGGCAATGACCTGCAAGATCGTCTAGTCCAGCCGTCCTCCAATTTCCGTTGCTACCACAAGCCTCTACACCAAGAGGCAGGTTACCTAACAAGACCTTGATTATCCGTGTCTTTCCACTGTTCACACGGTAAAAGTTTTTTTCTGAAGCCCGTAAGTGTACCGAATGTTTCTTAGACTGGAGCTTTGACAAAGAAAATAAAGCAGAATTGAAAACATCACATGATGTCTTCTTAGGTTTCTTTTTTCACTACAGAATCATTTGAGTTGGAAGAAACCTTTAGAGGCCACCTAGTCCAACTCCCCTGCCACGAACAGGGACACCTACAATTCCATGAGGTGCTCAGAGCCCCATCGAGCCTGACTTTGAGTGTCTCCAGGGATGGGGCATCCACCACCTCTCTGGGCAACCTGTGCCAGTGCCTCACCACCATTACTGTGAAAAGCTTTTTCCAATAGAATCCAATCTAAATCTCCTCTCTTTTAGTTGGAAACCATTTCCCCTTGTCTGATAGCAACAGACCTTGCTAAAGAATGTCTCCCTTATACTTCCATTTAGACACTGAAAGGTTGCTCTCAGGTCTCCCTGGAGCCTTCTCTTCTGTGGGCTGAACAGCCGCATCTCTTTCAGCCTGTCCTCACAGGGTTGTTCCATTCCTTGAGTACTTCAATGGAAAAAAAAAAATACTTAAAAAGAGCAGCAAAGTTCCAGATCAAACAATCCTATGGAACTACATTCTCACCTGCGTTTAGTAAAATAAAACCAGGTGAGCATGAATGTTACAGTTGCACCTGAATGTGCTTTCCAGCATGATTTGTTTGTGAAGAATGGAAATTTCTAGGAGTTATCCTAAGCTGATTCAGCAATTTATGGAAGAAGCCCTCTTTGTTAACCAGGACATGATTAAACTCAAGAAAAACTGGTCTATGCATTTAAATGATCTAGTATTAAATGGGGAGATCGGTGGCCCTGCCTGTGGCAGGGGGGTTGGAGATTCATGATCCTAAAGGTCCCTTTCAACCTGGGCTATTCTGTGTTTCCATGAAAACACCAGATTATACTCCGGTTTTGAAGAGAGATTCCCAAATACCTTCCCTTTCCAGATAGCTCCAGCAATTTCACAAGCCACTGTCTTTTAGTTCTGCGTTTCTGTCAGCATACAGATGGCATCTTCAACATCTAGACTCAGAAAGTGGCCTACTTTTAACTTTCCACCTTGATTTGGAGCTACCATCTTTTCAATGAGATGTTTCTACACAGAGGTAGCTGGCAAACTGCAATGTAAAAATAAAGGAACATCACTGCAAAACCAAACCCACCCATAGTACATAAAAAATGTACTAGAGAATTCTGTAAAATATTTTCGAAAGACATGGGTGAGAACTGAAGTATATATTGGCATCAAAATTCGTAGAATCAACTTAGATACAAATTCTATGGCTCATTATCATTTCCACATCTTTGGTTAGCTCATGTTTGACTACTCCCATAGGAGCTAATCCCTCTTTTTCACTATAAATCCCAGTTGTCTTTTCCTTTAGATTGTCCAACCAGTTATCACAATGAAGTTAGTATCTAAGGAGTTTTCTCACCTCCTCTTTAGCTTTAAAAATTGCTTCCTCTAGTTCAAACTTGAGAAATGAATTGTGAACATGAAATTTGCCCATTTATTCTATACTCTGAGCTAATTTCTTGTAAAAAAACAAAACAACAACCAACCAAAAATGTCTAATAAATGTTACTTAATAACATGGTGAATACTGGATGATGGGTTAAATGTAGGGCAGATAATGTCAGATTGGTTTGGCATGTACCTGAGATAGTGAAATGATGGGAAAGATTTTCTGTGTTCAAGGTCTGAATGCAATCTAAAACTGAGAGTGCCTAAAATTGTCTGGAAAGCAGCCCAACTGGCTCATTGACGAGAAGTCTAGTTTGGCCTACTTAGCTCTTTGATTAAATGATAGCTCATCCTTGCTTTTCTTTTAACTTTAGTTGCATTTAACAAATGAATGAACAACAGGAAAAAGTGTTTGTATTATTTAAAAGTTTATGCTAACTGTTTTTAGTATATCATCATTATATTTTTAATTGCTAGATAAAATTCATAAAAATATAGCTATGCTTATCTCCCTTAAATTGGAAGGAATTAGAGAATACATACCTATACATCATTCTATCATGTGTATCTTGTTTGTATGTATGTCAACATGTACCTAAAATAATAAACATGTAGTTCATCTCTTCCTTCAGTTTTGTGTCCATGCCATTCTGAGAATATGAAGACAACATGGTGGCAACATGGTTTAATGTTTTAGAACAGACAACAGTAATTATAGACTGTTTAGATTATAGATTCTGCTATAGATTATAGCAGAATAGAATGAACATTTTCTAATTGTGAAATTGGCTGTTGAGCGAGCATTACCATGAATTCCTGGTTTTACACTCCAATACTTAAAATGCTATATAAAAGGTCAGTCTCTTTGTTAGCCACAAGATGGCAGCATGGATTAACTGCGGGTGGACTCACTTGAGGGTGATCTCATCCACCTCCGTAGCTTTGTCTGCAGTAGCAATTACAATATAGTATAATGGTAACACTGAACAGACTATTTTCTTTGGTATAAACAGCATGGTTATATATAAAGATCGTAGTCAAATCTAGATTGAAAACATATATCTATTCTGTAGGTCATCTTTCCAACCAGGAACATGTAGCACCCTTTTTTTCCTATCCTCTACATCTTGTCCTTTCTCAGAATAAAATTTGCTTTCTAAACTTAACTACAGAATGCACTAAAGATGGACAGTTTTTTTTTTTTCCTTTTGTTTTTTTTTTTTTTTTCCTTTTTGTCAGATTCTGCAAATACAAGTCTTTGTTATTTGGTATGTAATCACTATGGAAAGCAGAAAAAGTTTTCCCCTGAATGTTGTGGGAAGGGCTACACGTGTTTGAAGAATGGAGACTAAAAGCAATATTTAGAAATGTCTGTGCATTCATCACTCACAGTTTCTGATTCATGCTATTTTTAATTTCCTTTCTGAAGTATCCCAGAAAGTGTCCTACAAAAGAGATCAGTTGCAGTTATGTAACTGTTTAGATCTCCCACAATTCTTGCACATTCTTTCCTTCCATTTGACAATGCAGTCTGTGACTGTTCTCAGTGGGCATTTCCTCATACTAACAGTTACTTACTGCTTATACTGAGTAGCTGTTATGTATCTAATTTTCTACTAATGAAATTAATAATATGCCAGGTATCCTTTTCTCACCCACCCTGACAGTTAAAACAAACCACCTGTAAGTGTAATGAAGGACAGTTTGGTCCTTCAGTGCTGATCATAAACTGCTTTCATTACATGCATTTTTTTTCCTGACTTAAGCAGAGTGTAAGAAATTTGGTAAATCTGTCTCCAGATGTATTAACAAGAAATATGGCAAGAAAACTCATGGTTGTAAAAGCTTTTGATTAAAAATATTACTGTGATTTTTATAAGACGCCTTTCACATTTGAATCAAGCTTCGATCCCTTAATATTCCTCTTACAAGCTTTTTATTGTGACTGTGACATAGTACTTTTTGTTGAACTTCCAGCTGGTTTTCCATGTAGGAAAATGGCAGCCAGAGGTTGGCTTGTGACTTAGCTTTGTCTGTTGTGCTCAGCTGCCAAATCTGGGAGCCCAGCAGAGGTAAGATTTCATCTCCATGTCTCCAAGTCTATCCAATAGCAAGGCTGAGCATGTATTCCCAATTTGATTTACTATTCAAAAGACTTATGACCACACCATATGAATAGGGGAAAGAAAGAGTATTTAAACAAGAAGAAAACCTTTCTCTATCTTCATCATTCAACTTCTAAAATTTGGGTCCAGATATAGAAAGGATATCAGAGAGACTGCAGGGCCCTGTGGGGTCTAATTGAAGGCTTTGTGTAGTCACTGAAGTTTGTCTGGCATTTTGTTGATTATATTCATGTGTGTAAAAGATCTTGACATCTTTCTGAAATGCAGGTTGTATACAGCCAAAGGAAATAAAATTGCATCCCAAATTGAACCAAGCTTTACCTTTGGTCTTTAAAATGTTTAAGAAACTTGGTTTCACATTAAAAATCCATCTGAGATTCTTCTTCATGAAATATTCTTTTTTTTCCCCTCCAAATCTTTGGAGTGTAAATTACTGTTTAGTTAGTACAGCAGACAAAAAAAAGTGTGTGTTCTTTGGTTCTAAATACATAACTGAGAGGAACACGCTGGTGAGTAGGCTTGTAATTTGTTTTCA